CCACTGAGAGGTCTAATAGGACCAGGACAGAGGAGCAACCCCTGTCCCGAGCCCTCCACAGATCATCGACCAATGCCGTTTCTGTGCTGTACCCGGGCCTGAAGCCCGACTGGAACGGATCCAGATACGCTGTTTCATCCAGGTGCTGGGGGAATTGTCACGCAACCACACTCTCAACAACCTTCACCACAAAGCGAAGGTTGGAGACCGGACGATAATTAGCCAACACTGCCGGGTCCAGGGAAGGCTTCTTGAGAAGCAGCCTCACCACCGCCTCTTTCAAGGCGGCGGGGAAGTCACCCTCACCCAATGAAGCATTTATAATCCCCTGGTGCCAGCCTCGCGTCACCTCCCAGGAAGCCAGCACTAACCAGGAGGGGCACGGGTCCAATAAACATGTGGTCGCGTTCAATCCACCCAGAATCCTGTCCACGTCGTCGGGGGTCACAGGATCAAACTCATCCCAGATAACATCCTCAAGACCTGCCTCAGTCATCCCCCCTGACACTACCCAGTCAGAGTCCAGGCTTTCCCGAATCTGAGTGATTTTGTCATACAGATACTGAACAAAATCCTCGGCTCTACCCTCCAAGGGGTCCTCCCGCACTTCCTGGTGGAGCAGGGAGCGGGTCACCCTAAACAGGGCGGCTGGGCGATTATCTGATGACGCAATAAGAACAGCAAAGTATGTATGCTGCTTTTATTGCCACTAGGTAATTCTTAATATGACATCTTACCAGTGTCCGGTCGGATTCAGAAAGACTGGCCTTCCAACTACTCTCTAGGCGTCTTTTTCAGCGCTTCATCTCCCTCAGCTCCTCGGTAAACCAAGGAGCCAGGTGAGATCGGCGCCGGGTCAGAGGCCGCGAAGGCACGACCCGATCCAGAGGTCCAGCGGCTGCCCGCCCTATCCCAGGCGGCCACTAGGTCACTAGTCAGGCATGTGCCAGAGCCTCAGGGAATGGCCCAAGCTCCATCTGGAACCTATCAGGTTCCATCAGGCGCCTGGGGCGGAACCATCTTACTGGCTCTGGCTCCCTGCGGCGGGGTACAGCGGTTCGAAGGTCAAGGCGAAGGAGAGAGTGATCTGACCATGACAAGGGCTCGGTGACTATATCCCCTATCTCAAGATCACTCAACCACTGTCCAGAGACAAAAACCACCGTGTGGGTAGGGCCATGAATTATCTGGGTCAGGTCCATAGCTGTCATGGAAGCCATGAACTCCCGAGCCACCTCCGACGTCTCACCCACGGACAGCAGGTTGAAATCCCCCATGACCATAAACCTGGGGGTATCAACTGCCACCACGGCGATAACGTTGAGTAGCTCGGGCAGGGCTGCTGCCACGTGGCAGGGAGCCAGGTACGTGATCAGCAAACCCATCTGAACCCCATGACCCCACTTCACAAGGAGGGACTCACAGCCGTTCGTCTGAGGAACAGTGGCCTCCCTCGGTTTCAGATCTTCTTTAATGATAACCGCTACCCCCCCGCCCCTGCCCTGTGACCTCGGGCGAGGGGTAGCGGTTATCCGGTAGAGCTTTAGGAAACTAATAATATTGAACAAATTTCTTTACCAACTTTTATAAGAGTGCTTATGGCCTTGATGGACAGGAACAGTCTTTAGGCTCCTCTATTAGTCTTTGATCCTCTATTACTCAAATGCAATATTATATATGTAGCCAAAATCAAACCACAACCACTTATCCTGAAGAAATTCAATAACAGCTAAAATGTATAAACCAGGCTGGTCAAACATGAATGCTTCAAGTGTTCATTGACCAAACATTCACCTGTTCTTCGGAAGGCCTCAATTTTCTCAGCAGGAAAGCTGAGTTTTCTGAGGTGCTACGACGACTGCCTATACGAAAAAGACCAAAATGTTTTATGTAAACATATCCATGCTCAATTACAACCCTCTTAAAGGCACATGATCAACAGATGGAATAAAAGATCAACCAGGAAAGAAAGGAATCAGTGGCTATCAAATTTGGGAGAAGAACCATGCAATTCAGTTAAAGTGGGTATCTTATTTAGATGGATAATCCATATTGTTGCAAGAAAACTACAGACATGTTCATGAAGTCAATACAAATCAAACTTGACTCAAAGGAGACTTTATGTCTACATAGGTGTTTTTTGAATGTTTTAAAGTACTTAGGAATTCATGAATACAAGAAAGCAAACACTTTAAGTTACAGGTAGCATTTAAAGCACAAATAAATACAGGAAAATCATGTTAGACCTCTTAGCCTGTAACTATCCCTAAACAGGGAAGGCATTACATCAACATTCAGAAACAGACTATTTCTTGTCATAATAATATATAGCTAATATCTTACATCTCTCAGAAATACATGTAAATGTTGCTAAGAAGTTTTGAACATGGGTAGATAGATAATACTAAACAACAGCTAGCTTTTTATGGTAGGGAGAGTACAGGTAGAAAAAAAAACCAAACAAACAAGTTATTTGTTACAAATTGAAGCCAAGGTTGAACTTTTCCAGTTTTTTAAAAGCTTGAACTGTTGTTTCAGGAAAAGCTGTTATATTTAATAAAGTTATGATCAAGTTAAAGCGAATAATTACACTGCATTACTGGGTCTGTTAAACTGGAGTATAAAATGGTGCAGGTATCTCAAAGAGGTGCTGTAAGGTCTCTTTGAGATTTCCACTGCTGTTTCCTAGTCTTCATTTAAGTAAGGAAAATGAGTACCCCTCTTGCTCAGAATGCAAGGTTAATAATACCTGCACTTAGGTAAAGCATATGGCCAAATGAGCAAGAACATCAATTACTTCATCAAAAGTGCTAAGATGATGTCAAAATAACTGCTTTGTGCAAAATAAGGTGATCTTATTTACTAATAAAACGGTAATTTGGGACAATATGTTGCTTGCGCTGAATAGGTTCCAACTACAAAAAATCCGAGAACTTACCTCTACTGTAATTGTAATTTATTCAGGTATATTATTTACCAACTGCTAACAGCAATAGCACTTAGACTTATATACCGCTTCACAGTGCTTTCCAGCCCTTTCTAAGCGGTTTAGAGTCAGCCTATTGCCTCCAACAATCTGGATCCTCATTTTACCGACCTCAGAAGGGTGGAATATATTTATGAATTTTTAATGTGGCAATAAGTAATTTATGTTATATTATATTATATGTTTTAAAATTATAATTTTAAATCAACACTAAATGTTCTGCATAATTGCTTGGACAATATTTTTTTTTACATTTCTCTATTTTCATCAGAAATTTATCTCTTTTAAAAATAATTCAAGAAACATTTAATTCATTTAATTTTAAATGAATTAATGTGTTTAAATTAATAAAATATTTAAGCTCAAACTCAAGTGATCTATATTTTACTTTATAAAAGTTGTTACATAACAACTTTTCATAAACAAACCTATTATCTTTTAAAATATAATTTTACTAGAAGCTTAGAAAAGTATAATTCACATTGCAATCCTGAACAAACACTTTTTAAAGTTCCATTATTGTAACTGCCATTAAGATCAAAGGAGTGACTTTGAGATAAATAACTATAAAGCTGCAATATTCCACATAGCAATCTGAGAGTAAGCCCCTCTGAAATAAGGATACATAGCTTTGAGAAGATTAGACATTATACACGTTTCCCTTTTAAGGACCTAAAATTGCACACCTATAGTTACAATCCTAAATAAACTTTACTTCACTAAACAATAGGGAGCTTATGTTAGTATAAAGTAATACGAACAATGAATAAAGAAATTGTAAAAAATGGAACTTTGATGTTATATATGCTGATAGCAGCAAGAACACTCTAAGCACAAAAATGGAAAGATACTTTGATCCCCAGTGGACAAATAGCTGCAAAAGTTGATGGAGTTAGCAGAGATAACTAAACTGACTGCTTTGATTAAAGAAAAGAACACAATTTTATTTTTAGTTGAAAACCACTTTTAGACTTTGTTCTTGAGGCAGAAAAAATGAAACTTTGATTTGGGGTTTTGCTGATTAGATAAGTTTGTTGTTATAAAAATAGCTATTATTATATAATAGTAAAAAGCCGAGGTTGTATATTATTACCTTATTCTATGTACCAAAAAGAGTTGGAAGTCAATGCTTTTCTTTTTCTTTTCCTTTTCTCCTACACTTTTTCCTCTTCTCCTTTTCCACCCCTATTTCCCTATTTTTCATTTCTCTTTGTATTTCTGTATTTCATTATTTTGATAAAATAATGAAAAAATTAATGTAAATATCTTATATTCTTTTAATCTTAACACAAGCTATTGCAGAATTTTTAAAGAAGGAACACAAATAAAGAACAGGTTCAAAATGTATGTGTTTACAAACATGTCTTCAAGTGCTATTAAAATGCACTAAAATAGATTCTACTAAGAGTTATAAAAAGTATTTTCTTTTTTTTTATTATTATTAAATCTTTTATTAGTTTTAAAAGTAAAACAAAAGTATTTTCATATATACTGAAGAGAAGTTAGCATGCTTAAGTGCAACAAAATTTGACCTCAAGTTTTAAGATCCCGTTTTGAATATAACTGTGAGAATTTTAACAGTGCACTCTTTTATTTTTTGATAGGTTTAACCAATGTAACATGTAATTTTACTCATTGTAATTAATTAAAAATATAATTGGACACCTAAATTCAAAAGCACAGACAAAAGTTCACTGCCAAGTGGAGCATTTTTAGGGAAATATTGAAAATAGCTTTTCAGAGGATAAACAGCAGTAGCACATACCAGTTCCTTCTTGCCACAAGACTCACTATTAAGGCATCCAAGGAGAACAGAAAATGATTACTCATAATGCCAGATCAGAGTTATTAAAAAAATAAAATAAAGCCAAGATGCTTGGCCTGCATAAAGGCCAGAGGGAGAAAAGGCAGACAAAGTGTGTTCTGTGAATAAGAACAAAAGGTGACAGAATCACCAGGGCAGAACTATTAAAAGTACTACGATCCACAGAGTCAGCACTCTGATGACTTTTACCTGAGCTGAAAAGGTGCCTGCTGGCGATGGTGGAGATGGCGGTTCCTGCCGATGGCTGTCTTCTTCCTCTGGTGAATCATCCAGGAGGACTTTACTGCTCTTGTTGAGCTTCCACATTATGAGTGGAGGCGGGAGGGAGAGGAAGAGGAAGGGGGAAGAGGAGGAGGTAAAAAGTGGACCGGTCCTTCTTATTTATGCCTGAGAAAGTTTGAGAAAGAACCAGGTGAAACGGCAATGACTTTGCTATTCAGCCACCAGCCTAGAGATATTAAGCTTTCTGGAGAAATAGCTAAAGGAAGCCAGGCAGGTCGATCCTAAAATGCGCGGCCAGACTTCCAGAAAAGCCACTGTCGTTAGGGGAAGAAAAAAAAGGGGAAAGGCACGAGCGGGGGGGGGGGGGAGTGAAACGTGCAACCCCACTGCGCGCACAGAGACCTAGCGCCTTCTTTGCTGGATTTGTCGTACAGACCAGGTTTCCCTCACTCTCCGAGCATAATCCCAATTTGCTCTCCCGAGGGCCAAATATATGGGTCCCGCTGACTCAGCCACGTCAAAAGGGGTGGGTGCAGTCTGTACGTGCTCAGAGACACCTTTGCCAGAGAAAAGAGGCGGGCGGGGAGACGATACAAAGTACGCGAAGCGGCAAAAGAGGGCAGTAAGCCTGACCTTAAGGCTCCGCGCTGGTGGGGGGGGAGGGACAGGTACTCTTCCCAAGGCCCCACACAGGCAACCCCCTCCCCGACCCCAATTTTCTCTGCAAAAGCGGGGACGGCGACGAGCCGTCACACTACCACCACCACCACCACCCGCCTCCAGAGACGCTCCACCCGGGGGGAGAAAAGTCGCTGCTGTTGCCTCCCGCGCAGAGACGAAACAGAGGGAGAAGGCCCTGGTAGGGATGTCGGGCTGCCTCCCCGTCCACCGACCGCCGGGACCCTTCCCGCCCCCTCACCTGTGACCGTTCCGCCTCGTTGTCAGAGCCGCCACCGCAGCGTAGTAGAGCCTGCGAGCAGCCGCTGCCATGTTTGCGGCTGACTGGGCGATGGGAGGGAGCCGGAGCGAGGAAGAGCGCGAGCGGCAGCTGGGAGATTTGGGGCGGGGGGGGGGAAGCAGGGAGGGAGGGAGAGCGCGCGCAAGAGAACAGGGGCTTGTTACGTCGCCACAGCAACCTGGCAGCGCGCGCGGGCGCGCGTCCGGGGCACCAGCCTTAAAGGGGCGGGGGAGACAGAGGGAGGTGGGTGGGGGCGTCGAGATTTCCCCAAAGACCCCTCTGCCTGTGCCTTCCTCGTGCTCTCCGCATCGGTGGCGCAGAGGTGGGGTGTGTGTGTGTGGAATTCCTCGAAAACTCGTGACATAACTTAAATGCCTGCGGGGGCAAAAGTGGATCCGTCATCATCTTCCTCGGCCAATCTGCTCTCCAGTCCACCGACCAATTCAGACGAGAACTTTGCTTCGTTGTGGCGGGAATGAAATTTAGAAGTGCCGTAGCTCCTAATAGTCGAGCGCACAGAGAAAAGCCTCCTCCCTGTCCTCCCTGTCTCCGTCCTCGGGGATACTTGGGGCCTCGCCTCCATTTAAACTGGGACTACGAAGGCACACCTCAGTATTTGGGGGTGGGGGTGCTTTGATAGAGAGGAGCCGCCTTGCCTTTCTTAAGGAAATACAAAAATGAGGGGGAGGGGTTGTACTTCAAGAGGCTGATGGAGGCTACTAGCGTCCAGTAAAACTCATGCCATAATTTGTAAAATTGTAAAATGCCACGAGATTTTTGTGTGGCTTTCCCATGGACTGAGAGCCAATTAATAATTAATTAATTAATAATTTAAGACATTAGGTTAGAAACTGGGAAACAGGTCTCAGTCCTGCCTTGGGCTTAAAACTTAAAAGCTATTCAAGCAGCTTTGAGCTAGTCACTCACTCAGCCCTAGGAAGAAAGAAGTTCATGGCAAACCACCTCCGAAAATACTGCCAAGGAAACTAGACTGGTCTGGTCAGTTGCCAAACGTCAAGACTGACTTGAAGATACATGCATACATTTACTTTAATATAATTTATAAGAGGGTGAGGTACACAGAAATTAAATATGTGCATATATGTTAAGAGAAATTACACAACTGGAGTTAGTCATTGATAGACATGGGACATGTTTAGACCAAACAATGGTCGTATTATGACCGTATTCTTTAAAGTTATATTTCCATTAAAATGTTTTAACAATTTTCAAGGATACAGATAGCATGGCAGAGATCATTTCCTGACCAGTAACTGATTCTACCTTATATTGCCTTCCCGATACCTTAGCTGAAGTGCTCGTCACTTTTTTAGATAGCATAATAATATACAGGCATGAAATTTGTTGATCTCTATTCTGTCTCTTTCTTCTGACTTGGTGCCTTATGATGTGGTTCTCATCTAGGAAAGCAGTTGGGCAGTGATCCCACATAAAAAATGAAAGGGTTGTTCAAGGAAGATATGGAAATTGCATATGAACAAATAATTCTTTGCATCGGTCTCTGCTACAGAAGATATAGGACAGACACTTGAGCCTACTGACATAGAGAAGGAATTGGAACCAGTAAAACACACTAAGGAAACAATAGAAGATATTGTAGGACATCATTACAAGCTCAGGTATCTGTTATATAACAGGTGGCATTCACTTGAGAATTGTTAACAGTGGGAAATGGGTGATTTAATGCGTGTGTGTACCTTAAACTAATAAAAATATACAGAAATATACAAAAATATAAAAGATGAATAAAGCCCATTACTCTCCAGATTAAAAGAGGAAATATAGGTAATCCTTAATTTATGATCACAATTGAACCCAAATTGTTGCTAAGCAAAACATATTTAGTAAAACTTAAGCTTTGCCCCATTTTACGACCTTTCTTGCCACAGTTGTTAAGTGAATCTTTGCAGTTGTTAGTACAATAATACAGTTATTATAATAACATAGTTGTTGAATCAGGCTTCCCCATTGACTTTGCTTGTCAGAAGATCGAAAAAAGTGATCATATGACCCTGGCACACTACAACTGTCATAAATATGAATTAGTTGTCAAGCATCTGAATTCTGATCATGTGACCATGGAGATGCTGCAAGAGTCGTGTGAAAAACTGTCAAAAGTTACTTTTTTCAGTGTTGTAACTTTGAACAATCACTAAATGAATGGTTGTAAATTGAGGACTACCTGGTTTTCACAACATCCCCATCAGGGGTGGTATTCACTTACTTTCCCTACCGGTTCGCAAATGTGAGCACACACGTTCTTGGGAGCCAACTGGTAACTGGTTTGTTCCCAAAATAGCACAACAGTGTCATATGAAGCATTCATGACTATTTCAATCACTGCATTCTACCCAACTGTAGCTTCAAAGTAGTTTTCAAATATAGCCCTATGTACAGTGCCCCATGTAGAATACATTGCAATAGTCTAAACACAATATGACTAAGACATGAGTGATTGAGCCTGCTGTTCTAGGAAAGGTCATGACTGTCACAGAAAACTGAGTTGTGCCATCGGAGGCTTTGCTAAGTGTCAAGCAGGAAATGAGACTCAAGAAAGATCCCCAGATTATGAACCAGATCAATGTGGATAGGTCTAATCCCATCCAGGAAATATTCCTAGAACCAGATGACTTCTTCACCCAAAGCCATGCCATGTTCCAGGGATTTAATCAAAACCTTTTCTTTCTTTTTTATTCAAGTTCTAAGTGCATCCAGACACCAATCACAACAGTGCCAGTTCACCAAGAAGTCCCTTTAGATCAGCAAGTAGGGAGACACTGATAAGTGCAAATATATCCAAGGCTGCAGCTTCATTTTTGTTCCAGAAAGCAACTAAAGTTTCAGAAGGACTGCTCATCAGTGTCTCATAAAGTTCCCCAAGTAATTTCTTTAAGAAATCATATTTTTAAAAATAGTTTTATTGATTCTTTAAAGAAATAATGACAACATAAACTCTGAAAGAAAAAGGAAGAAAAGCATGTGCAAAGAAAGAGAGAAGAAGAAAAGAAAAAAATATTTAAAGAAATGATTTCCAATCTTCATCACAAGTACAAGCAAACTTAGTAATTCTTTACTCCCCTTCCTTTTATTTCTTACAGTCTAATTCATTCAGATGTTGTCATAAAATTTGATCTCTCTTAAATTTCCTTTTTTCCGTTTCAAAGGCTTCTTCAAGTCCAGTAAACCTCTTTTATAAATTCAATAATTATACAGGTTGTTCTCTTGGTTTTAATTGGCATTTTCAGTTAAATTGTCATCTCTTTTATAATTTACATTAGTTTTTATTTTCCAGTATTTCAGTATTTTTTTTATATATTCTAATAGTTCTGCATCAAGTGAAATTTGTTTCAGCTTTTTATCCCATAGACCAGGGCTGTCAAACTCAAGGCCTGCGGGGTTGGATGCGTCACGCACTGGCCATGCCCATGCCCCCGTCTTAGCGAAGGGGGGAAAAGTCTTGATATGTCATGTGGTGCCAATATGTAGAGTTTGATTGGCATGAAAACAACATATTGAATTATTGAACAAGATAATAATGAAAGATTATAATTCAACAAAACATGTATTATTATTAGAATTATATAACTTGTCAAACATAACTAAGATGAACATTGTTTTATTTCTTTTAAAATGTGATTAGAAAGGGGATATCTTTTAAATATAACAGTGGCATAATTAAAAATTAGAAAGGGGAACAATGGGAGATTATAATTCAAAACAAAGCTGTATATTTCTATTAGAATTATATAAGTCTTAGACACAACAAATATGATTATTGGTATTTTATTTGTAGTAAAAGGAGTGATATTAACATGGAGATTGGCATAAAAATAATATATTGAAATGTTGAATAATTAAGGAAAGATTATAACTCAGCAAAATATGTGTATTATTATTAAAAGTTTATAAGATTGTTAATTGTATTAAATATGAAGAATATTGTTTTATTTGCACTAAAATTTAAGACACTCTGGTCCCATACTGTTCACACAATGATGTTTGTAGAAAAATAAAAAAAAATTTTTAAAAAAAGTCACGGCCCGAGGGCTGGATGCGTCACACGCTGGCCCCGGCCACACCCAGTTTAGTGAAGGGGAGAAAAGTCCCGATATGTCATGTGATGCTGTGATGACGTGAATTTGACACCCCTGTTGTAGACCTTATAAAGGTATATAAAGGTTATAAAGGTATTATTTCACGTTGTCTTTCACATTGTCATTTCTTCTTGAACAACTTTTGGAAATTATCTATCCATAGAAGCAGAAATGTTACATTGCAGCTCCTATTTTCTGACCCTATTCTTCAAAGATCTGAAGTATTTAACATGTAATCCTATTTTATGTTATTTTGTCTGTAATGCTTACCAAATATAAAAGGCAAATCTTTTCCCCCTTTTCTGCCTGAAATCCTTAGTCCCCTCTAGTGTCCTATTTCTGAAATCACAAAAGCTCAAATTTCTCTTATAACTGAAGACAGACTAAACAATTTAGTTTCCACAAAGATACTATTTATTTATATACCAACCCCTAATATTCCATTTTTTTTCTGATTGTTTAATTTGTTTATAACTGTAACTCTTATATAGTTTTTTATTTCTGTTCTGTTTCAAAGTTGTTGACACAAATACAAACAATACTTTAAAAGCAAGAATATTTACCACAATTTAGGCATATAACAGAAAACAGAAATAGTAAATAATGCTTGCCTGAAAGGAGCCAAATACAGTTCAGGAAGCAATGCGTAGTCCAGAGATATTCCAAAAGTCACAAGATGCCAAACTGGGAAATCAGCCTGTTCAAGGGTCAAGAGTTAAAAACAAGAAGCAGGAACACAATTTGAAGAGCTGAACAGTTGTCTCCAACAAGCACAGGAGATACCTAAATCTGCCTGTAGTCAGATGGCTGCAATTATTCATGATTTGGCTTTGCTTTTGAGAACCCTCTTTGAAGAACATTGGTCTACTCACTTCTGTATGCTCCTAGACCTGAGGTTTGGGAATTGTGCCTTGTCATCTGATTGCTCCAGATGAACAGGAGATGCTTATGGCTGATCAGCCTCAATTGAATCTTGGCTTACTGATTCCTGAGGCTGACAATTCTGAAGCACAGGCTTAGCTGGAGCAACATTGTAAGATTCAAGATCAGGCTTTGAATTGTAGTTCACACCAATTTCAAATTCTACAAATTCTTAAGCTTGTAGGTTTTCTTTTATTCTGCAATGAAGATAAACTCACCATATAGTTTTGCAACTTTGTGATTCTGAAGATCTCTATTCACCTTCAGATAATTCAAAAATTTCCAAAAGTGATTAGAAAGTGGGATTAATGGACCCAATATCCTTAAAAGGGCTCTGCTGGCCTTGAGAGATTGCTGGTTTATCTTGGTCTTCCTGGTTTTCAAGCCTACAAAGAACCACTGTCCTGTGGTCCCCTTAGGAGTAGCAGCTATCTAGAATACTATGGTACAAAGTGGTGGGTTTCAAATTTTTTTACTACCGGTTCTGTGGGTGTGGCTTGGTGGGCATGGCTTGGTGGGCGTGGCAGGGGAAGGATAATGTAAAATCTCAATTTCCTCCTCAATCCAGGGGAAGGTTACTGCAAAATCCCCATTTCCTCGAGATCAGCTGGGATTTGAGAGGCAGAGAATAGATGGGGGCGGGGCCAGTCAGAATTTTTACTACCAGTTCTCCGAACTACTCAAAATTTCCACTACCGGTTCCCCAGAACTGGTCAAAACCTGCTGAAACCCACCTCTGTTGATCTTCCATCTTTTCCTCTTCTGGAGGGATTTCAAAGAAATGATTTATTCACTGGTCTTTTGGTCATGACTGTGACATCCTCTCTGCTCATTTGGAGATGTGTTAGTTCAGCGGTCTCCAACCTTTCCACCTTTGAGGACCAGCAGGGGATAGGGGATGATTCTGCATGAGTGGTTGGTGAATGCACAGGGGCAGCTCCATTTACACAAGTGGCAGGCAGATGTGCCCACCACTTTTTTTTTTTAATTTGATTTATATGCTGCCCTTCTCCGGAGACTCAGGGCAGCTTACAATGTGTTAAGCAATAGCCTTCATACTTTTGTATATTTATACAAAGTCAACTTATTGCCCCCACAAACTGGGTCCTTAATTTACCTACCTTAGAAAGGATGGAAGGCTGAATCAACCTTGAGCCTGGGGAGATTCGAACTTGCAGTAATTGCAGGCAGCTGAATGTTAATAACAGGCTATTAGTCTGTTGCGCCACCAAATGGAGCTATGTGTGCACTCTCACTCACCTGCTGCACATTTGGAGCTGCATGTGTGCGGATGCTCTCCTGCTGCTACCATATCCTGGTTCTGAATCGACCACAGCCCAGAAGTGGGCTGTAGCCTGGGGGTATATGGACGGAAGTAAGGATTGGATCCTCTCCCAAGGATCTATATGGGGAATGGTGCTTTTTAACTTGCTTCATAAATGATCTTGACTTAAAAAGTAGCAGTAAGTTGGCTACATTTGTGAAAGATGCTACATAGATGGGCAGTCATACAATTCCTTTAAATAAATAAACTGTGTGAGATGTGGCTCCATGTGCAGAAGTTCTATATGGTCTAAAGAGGGGTGGGGGTCTCCATCAGTATTTAGCTGATATATACAGAGGTTTCCCCATTGTATTATCAAAGTTCCAAATGTAAAGGGTGCTCCTGGTAGAAATTGACACTGATGTGATCAGTGCCACATTAGGAATAAATTTGTTCTGTCCTAGGCTTCCTGAGTAAACCTCACAGACATTATTGTAGTTATTAGTAATAATGCCTGACTGAGGAACAAAAGAAAAAAAAAGACCTGTCATATCTGCAATTGGCTCATTGTAGCAACTGCTCAAACCCTTTTGCAAACACTTGCCAAAATATATGTACATTTTAGTGTGTATGTGTGTGTGTATTCAGAGTATTTATTTATTGGTGAGATGAGCTTTTGCATGCAATGTGAAGCAATTGAGAGAATTTTAATTGCTTCAGAGCCTACAGTAGCTTTTCCAAGCATTGAGGACAGGATGGTTTTCACATTGTTGGTCAGCTGGCAGGAAAGCACTGACTGTCTCATGACATTCACTTTTATTCTCTGCATTTCAAGGTTATCTTATTTGCTAATAATTGCCATAGGTAGATAGGGAGGTAAGTAGGTGGATAGATTCAGAAGTGCCTTACCATCGCCTTCTCCTTCCTAAGGCTGAGAAAGAGTAACTGACAAGGTCACTTAGCTGATTTTTTTCCCAAGGCAGGACTAAAATTCACAATCTCTCAGTCCACTATATCATCAATTGGTATTTACCCCCAATAACTGCTGAAGGGAATACTTTGAATCTAACCAGAGCAAATGCTCGGTGATATCTATTGTTAATTAAGGATCAGTAACAATCAGTTGGCTTGGGGATAAAGACAGCCTCCAAATTTTTTGTTACTGAGCTAATACCTTGTTGATATCTTGTGTGAAGGAGCCTCTCATTCAATATTCATTTTGCCTGATCATATCACATCCTTTTTATTGCTTTATTAGAGAAGCCATAGGCTGCCAGTTTTTCTCTGATGGATATTTTCCAGGTAGATTGGAAGTTACACTTGTTAACCAGGAATGTCAGACCTATTGGGTTAAATAGTAGTTTTAGCCAGTAATTGAAGATAACCATCTAGATCCTGGCTTCTACCTTTGTAATTCCTAGTTCTAATCTTAAAGCTGCATTAAATATGCATCTTGGGACCTGCATGATCATTCTTAGATACTTGGATTATACTCTCTGGACTGCAGTTCGGTTAACATAACAACCCAGTAGAATTCTACGTAGTTGTGCCATAACTTTTGCCTCAAATAGTTTAAGTTCAGCTGTAACATAATGTCAACCTCTAGAGCAGTGGTTCTCAACCTGTGGGTCGGGACCCCTTTGGGGGTCGAATGACCCTTTCACAGGGGTCGCCTAAGACCATCAAAAAACACATATTTTCAATGGTCTTAGGAATAATTTTATTGTTGGGGGTCACCACAACATGAGGAACTGTATTAAAGGGTCGCAGCATTAGGAAGGTTGAGAGCCACTGCTCTAGAGAAACCAAAGGATAATGGCTCTTCTTTGGGCATCCTATGATTTGTGGGTGAATGTGAGTCCCTGCATTCCATCCTGAGGAATGAAAGATAATTCCCAAGAAGCTAAAACATTTAACTCGCTCAGTATTATTGCCGTTAATATACTGATTATAAATTTTAGGTCTTTTGTTAAAGGTCAGAAGTTATGCTTTTTGGTAATTTATCATCAATTTTTCTTTTTCAGAATATTAAGCAAGCGGTCTAGGGGTTCTTTACATCCCTATCATAGGCACAGGCAGAATAAGCACGTTGTCATCATACAGGAGAACTGAAAGTCGTCTTTTGGTTCTGATGGGTGAAAATTGCTTTATTGAAGTTTGGGTAACTGAATTTATATACAAATTAAAACGTAATGGAGCAAGAATACAACCTTGTTTTATTATTATTTTTTGAATTTTTTTTTAGTTTTTATTTCTTATACACATAATGTTAATGTACATTCTCTTATACATAATTGATCATACATATACATATTTTTCTTAAAGAAAGCATAAAAATAAGGCATTTCAATTACATTCGGGGTTGCTCTTCTACCCTTTCTTTTCCCTTATTTCACAACAAACCTTCTTCTCCTTCTTCTTCCTTTCCCTTCTTTCCCTCCTCTCCTCTCCTACTTTCTCCCTCTTCCTCTCCTTCCTCTTTCCTACTTCCCCTTCCATTCCCCGACTCCTCCCTTCTTTTCCCCCTTTCTTACCTTCTCTCCTAGACCTGTCTCCTGTCCTTTCTTCCTCTTTCCCCTTTCTTAAATTCCTTTCTCTCCCTCTCCTTTTCTTACCCTCTACTTCTCTCTCCTTTCTTTCTCCTTTGTTGTGGAATATTTTCCTTGTTTGGTATTAGAGCAATTCCAATATTCTACTAATATATACTTTCTTTTCGATTTCTTTTCAATTTTACTCAATCTGTCACTTTTATCATCCTAATTGTACATTTATCCTTATAATCTTCTTTCTTCCCCCCCCCCAGCTTTATTATTTCTGTTGTTATAATTAACTGCCCTTGGGGACTATATTTTACTTCAGATTGGTATTGCCGTAAAGTTTATATATTAATGAAAGTAATAATTTATCTATGTTGGTAGATATCAGCTGCTTCCGCAATAGTTCTCTTGATATGGAGCCAAATGCAGATTTGAAATTTACAAAACTGCATAAAGATAACTTTTGGATTCTTATATGTATTTCTCTGCTAGGTGTTATAGATTATTGCTTGGTCGATTTCAAATCTTCCTGGTCTAAAACCAGCCTTTTCTTCAGCTAGGATATTATCTTCAATCCAGTCATAGAACTTCTATTTAGGTGTTTAGCATAGATTTTGTTAATTATATTTTAAAAACTGCTTGAATGGTAGTTGACCAGAATTTTCTTTTGCCCTTTTTTATAGATTGGAATTATAATGGCTATACCCCAGTCTTCTAGGATATGAGTGGTGTTGCCAATAAAAGTGAAAAATGCGATAAGAATGGAGGTCCCACCAGTCGGTGTTATTTCTGAGAACTTCACTGGGAATAAAGTCATTATCTAAGGCTTTATTAGGCTTCAATTGCTCAATTAGTTATTTTATATATCTGTTGGATACAAATGGCCGGCATTGTAGCACTTCAAGAGTTATTATGCACTCCTGGGCAGGGTTAGCATCTATGCCAGCTTGTGGAGAGTATAGACACAGGAAAAGGCCTCCTGGGTAGAGATTGGAATTAGCATTCAATCCTTATGCTTGAGGTTGTGAACTATTATGCCACAATGTATGTGAATCACTCAACCTCATGGCTTCATAGAGCTGAGACAACCTTGCTGTGTTCACTGTTCTTTTTTATCTATGATTAAATGCTTCTACTGGCATTTGTTTTGCAAGAGAATCTGGAGGTTCATACCTAATTTTATTCCTGAATTAGTTGTAACTGTAGACAAGATCTATTTTTTACTTTAAGCAGTCTTTATAAAATCATAGTTTTGAGCTATGTATCCTAAGGGGTCTACTTTTGCTACTTGGTTAATTAGAACTCCCTTCAGTTTGATGGTATGCTTTTCAAGGTCCAGCAATTTATTACTCTCATTGCCATTGGTCTCATCAGTCATCATTTTACATGTAATTTATTGCATCACTTTGTTATCATGAAGGTAATAATTGGATAACAGCATAGTTTATCTTATCAGCCTATTTTAGTTTCCTGTTACATCTGTCATCTTCTAAGTCAGCTTGGTGGAATGTGTCAGTGTGTATGTAAAATACAAATAGTTTTAAGTGTAAAATTACTGGGGGGTAGTCACTTTCTAGCCTGCCCATTGTGACCTGCAATGAAATTAACAAATCAACCATATTATTTGAGATGATGATATAATCTAGCCCACCCCTTAGATATGAAAATCAACTGGGTGACCTTAGGCCATTCACTCTCTCTCAGCCCTATTCACCTCATAGGGTTACTGTTGTGGGGAAAATAGGAGGAGGAAGGTGTGTTGGATATATACGCTGCCTTGGGTTATTTGTAAAAATAATAAAAGTGGGATACAAAAACAAACAATAAACAAATAAAATAATCTGTAGTGCTCATTTCACTCCCCCCCACCCATATGTATATTTTCCTAGACAGTCATTCAACATTGCCATATTTAGGATATTCAGATTTAAACAGTAAGTTAAATGAACTAGACAGTAGCCAATATATTGACTTTAAATAGATGCTGCAGCAGGTATCATCACAGGGGTCAGGATAGCATCAACAGTAATGTATATATGGCATTAAAATCCCATCTAATTAGTACATATGCAGTAAAGAAAATTAACATTACATCTCCAAGGCAGTTTTTCAATTTGTCATTGTTACCTTTATATGAACATTTGGACAATTGAGGTTGATGATAAATGTAAATTACTAAGACTCTGTGATGCCCAGTGTGATACCGATGACCATTCCCAGGGGTTGGATGGCAACAAATAAAGAGATAGATACTGTGATATCTAAACCATCTCTGGCTCTCCCTCCCTTTTGACTCATTAGTTCACTCAAGATGCAAAAAGTTAAGTTTCAAAATCTATGAAATCAGAATCAGTTCTCTTATTAGGCCAACTTGTTGTGTTTCAGGAAACAAGGGAGAGAACATGCATTCAGGCAGAATGTCATTCTAATGGCTGTGAGAAGGCCTTGGAACTTTCTTGATAATCCTGGTCATTGGTTATTATTTGTGTTCCTGGAAGTGACATAATTGGGGCACCACAGGTTAGCTTTAAATTGCTAAACGAGGCACTTCGAAGTAGAGAAAAATTCCATGTGGAGGTTAAATTACTCTTCACCGTAGCTTATTACTCAGGAATTAGAGAAACACAAAGTCAGCATTTAACTTCATTCTAAATTAAATCTTTACATTGTTAATCTTTTAATTCAAATATTAACCTTTGTGATTCAGCACTTCTGGTGCTTTTCCAAGAGGAACAGCTTGCCTTCAGAAGTTGTAGGTACTTCATCATTGGTGGTTTTTAAGAAGAGACTGGCAGAGACTTGTCTCAAACGAACCTATGGCACGTGTGCCTCAGGTGGCACGTGAAACCATATCTGTGGGCATGCGAGCTTTGCCCTAGCTCAGCTCCAGTGCGCTTGCGCGCACCAGCCAGCTGATTTTCTAGCCTTCCGGGCCCACTGGGAGTCAGGAAATGGGCTGTTTCCAGCCTCTGGAGGGCCTCCGGCAGGGTGGGGAAGGCTGTTTCACCCTTCCCAGGATCCAAGAAAGCCTGGGGAGCTTGGGGAGGGTGAAAAACAGGCCTACTGGGCCCACTATGCCATTGTGCGCCAAAAGTGGGGGGAGTGCAGGGGGGGTCGTGCGTGCATTGTGTGCCAAAAGTGGGGGGAGTGCAGGGGGGTCATGCATGCATGCATGGGGGGTGCATTGAATTATGGGTGTGGGCACATGCGTGCGTGACCCCTGCACTTCCCTCACTTTTGGCATGCGACAGTCAAAAGTTTAGTCATCACTGGTATAAGGTGTCCTGCTTGAGTAGGGGGTTGGAGTGGAAGACCTCCAAGATCCCTTCCAGCTCTATTCTGATTGAAGTTGAAGCTTTGTGGTTCAGAACTTAGTTTTAGGACTTCTCTCATTCCACCATCTCCATCATATTCCCCTACTGAATATTAATCCTGTAAACTTCAAATGTCCAGCATTCCTTTACATGGTCAAAACTGTTTCACTGGTGCTAAAATAATAGTTTTATATCTGCTTATCGTTTCCTGTAAACTTATGCATTCTTTTTCCCTGTGTGTAAATATTTTGCCTTGGGAAATGCTTTTTGTTGTCTTGGATATAACATACCTCTGGAGTGATGGCAAAATATAAGTAGCAGGATGTTTCCTCTCTGATGAATATCAGTGCTTCAGGCTGAGGAGATTCACGAGAGGTAAACATTTAAGGCAAGGTTGTTTTATTATCTTTCTACAAAGGATGAATGCAATTGAATGTTTGCCACTATTTTTCTTTGCTGGAGAAGCTAACAGCCCACTCCAGTTTTCTTACTTTTTTCATTATTAAAGGAAATAATAAATCTTAGGCATCACTCCAGTGGTGAAAGCCAAAACTCCTGCCAATTTTTTTCACTACCTTTGACAAGAACCATATACTTTCATCACAAAAGATGGCTGAGACATCTTCCCAATTCACAACCTTCATGACTAACAATAGAAAAATAATAAAATTTGCTTGACACATACGCAGTGCAACAACTACCAAATGCTCTGTGCAAGAGTTTCATTTTGACCAGTCTTCTAAAAACTATCAGGGCAGGATCTGTCTGCCTTTCTGGGGATAAGGACAGAGAAATAGAGCATTGATTAAAAGAAACTATTGTTTTGTTGCTCCCTTCTTCACTGTATTTCAGCAGGGCTGGGGATGATGAATGAAGAACACATTGGATGGATTGATTCTTCTTGAGGTAGGCAATCCTGCTGATATCTGGATGTCAAGCCTTGCATGGCACGGAATTGAAGTTGTTCAGCATCAACAGCTGAACACCAAATCCAGCTCTCAATCAAGTCTGGAAGGCATCTGCTTTTTAACAAAGTAAGCAGTGTAAGAACAGGATCTCTAAACTGGTCTGACCTTTTAGACTCAAATTTATAGCCTATTGCAACAAAAAAGTAGCTCCCTGGTAACTATTGTGGGGCTTGAAGGCTCAGCAGTTAAAAACACTGAATTTGTCAGGTGGAGAGCTTACAGTCCAGGTTACAGACCTGGGCTCTGTACAACTTTGATACCCATGGTGTAGAATAGATGCCCAGTTCTATCAAGTTTAACCAAATTTTTGCCTTTTAGTTGTATTTCACAACTACTAAATGTTGTGAAACACTACTAAAGATATCTCAATGCACATTGTTGAGTTCAATCAGCAGTTCTTTTAGTCAAGCGTCTATTTTCAATCTTCAAATGTTGAACATTTCTATGTCCAAAGTCCAAAGTCAGCCTGATTTAGCCCAGTGATTCTTAGCACCCTCTGCCTTTCAGCAGGTCTTCCCGCTGCTGTGGCTAGTTGCCTTAGGACCTCGGGGGAATGAGGGCCATTTTTGGGTTGTATTGACATGTTGAAAGAATAGACTATAATCTGTCACATTAGTCCATTGCAGGTTGGCAGATACGATCGATGTTAGTCTGGTCTATTCATCATGGCCTGTTTGATTTGGGTGACCCTTCTGGACATGTACATGTCCAACAACCTAATCCACAAATTCATTTAACCACATAACCCCCTTCACCTCATTAAGACCCTGATCATAGAAGGAGATTCAGGAGCGTATTTGATAGAGAATATTCATGATACAGGTGGTCATCATGTTAGGACTGTCAGGGTTCCAAGTAACATCCCCAACGAAAGAAGACTCCAAGGCTAGAAATTCCAGGCCAGACACCCTGTTGGCATTCCGCTTCGGCAGCCTCCGCTGCCTTCATCACAGTTCAGAAGGGGAGTAGATGGTTTTGACGTGAACCATCGAACCAGTCTCAGTGGTTCCCTCTGTGGTCACCATTCTCTCCTCCATCTTCCCTGAGTCTTTATGCTGCCCGGTGTCAGATTGGCGCTAAGGGCTCTCCCAGAGCTCAGGGAGCTGTTTGAGGTTTTAATGGAGATTTGGGTTAATGTCAGGGTTCCAAGTAACACCCCCAATGAAAGAAGACTCCGAGGCTAGAAATTCCTCAAAGTTCCACTTTATTAGAGATGTCATATTGGCACATCTGGGAAAACCTGAATCTGAAAGCTTCCGGGCTTTCCCCACCCAAAAGAAAGTCGAAGTCCTTTTCCCTGCACTCACATGTCTATCACATGGTCCAATCAATCCACCATCCCAACTGGAGATACCTCTCAGTCACGCAACTCCAATTGCAAGCTGAACGTCCTTGATGTCCAGGGAAAAGAATGTTGTTATGGCTAGATATCTCTACAATTCCATGCAATTCCCCCTCCCAATTTCCCACAGCACCAAGTGTGGCAGCCCTGAAGATCCAAAGAAAACTTCTCCAGGGCTGACAATGACATCAACTGGGACCAAATTGGGTCTGATTGTCATTGATATTGTTAAGTGAAGAGGTATAATGTGCAATGTCACAGGACTGCATTTCTTAGCCACAGCAATCCAGCCAGTTCTGGTTGTCCCTGATTGGGTAAAGCAAGAAGTGGACGGAGTCCAAAAAAAGGATTGCAGGTGTTTTGGAAGTTGAAATATTCACTGAAATATATTAAAAACAAGTAGGTTAGAACAGAATCATATTAATTCAATCCTATATTTGAAGACTCTATTTGAAGAGAAACTATATGTTATTTTTTTTCAAAAAAAACCTTAACACATTAAATTATTTATCAAATAGCATTTTTGTCCAATCAAAACTAGCCACATTGAAATGGACAATATTTGAAGCTGATGAATAACATTTTGGCGGAATCTAGCAGTTAGAATATTAGTAAGATTTTTCATCACATTTGCTTTTGGAACAATTCAGCCAAGCATATCAAGACAAGCAATCTAAATTCTATTTCTAATACATGAGAGAATGCATTTTGTCTAAAATCTCTTATTTCATGGCTGAATGATATAGCTTAATTATGGGACATCTGTGGCTCTTCTGGTATGGGATTCTGCAAAATTTGAAAATCTAAGATTTTCTTGAAAAATTTATATTTTTTTTCTTTTTTTTCATGACATTTATATGAATTTCCTATGAAACAATGTCCTCTCAGTATGATAATTTCACTTTTTATATGTGAAATTATATTTTACATAATTTTACATTTGTCCAAGAAACATGGCATTTCATCTTTGACAATATCATATTCGATTAAATGTTTTTGAAAAGGTATACCTGGGAAGTCCTGGGAATAACCTTGGAATTGGTTCAAAAGGTATCTTCACGCTGTGTTGCATTTTGATGATGGATGATTTCACTGTGGTAGCAAAAATATATATAACAAAATGTAAGCTAACCATGAATTGCTCTCACTATCTGGATTTAGATCTCTTTTGCAAAGGCCATTATCTTTGTTTTCTTATAATTTATGTCCAGTTTATTGTAATTACGGTACTGGAGAAGGCCTCGCAAGGCTCTTTTAAGACCTACTGGTGTCCTGGAGAGGATCAGAGTGTCATCTGCATAAGAGCAGGAGGGCGATGCTTTGGTTACCTACTTGGGTGTGTGTGTGTGATTTGGTTTGTTTAGCCATTTTACCATGTCATTTATATAAAATTGATGAAGATATTGAGGAGCCTAAGACAGAACCTTGAGGTACCTCACTGCATCCTTCCATCCAGATAGATGTAGTTTCACTGAGGCCTTACCTGCTGAGTGTGGTTGGTCGGCCAAACCATCTGGTGGTGGTACTGTCTATCCCACACTATTCTAGCTTAGGAAGACTTAGGCTGAGGTCTACTTTGTCGAATGCCTTACTGAATTCTACATATGCTACATCCACAGCATTTCCACTAATTATTCCACTAATTAAGTTACTAATACAATCCCATGTCCTTATTTATATAACATACTTCTATTTTCCTTGGTCTTTTTCCAGTTGGCTGTTTCTCACTTGGAAGGTCTTCTTCCTCTTAGGCAGGCCCTGGCAAAAAATAACAAAATAACTAGTACTTGTAAAGCTAAACTGAAGAAGAAATACATCACTTTCATTTTTAAAGTGAAAATAATTAAAATGTTCTTAAGTTAAAATTATACACACTTCCTTTACTTTGAAGGAGTTTTTCATTCAAGTACTTGTTTTGGTGCAAGGCTTGCAACTTCACTTGCCAATAACTCATTTTCTTCTTCCAGCTAAAATGCAGAAATTACAAGAAACATTCAGCAATCATAGAATACAAATAATCAAACAAAAAGAGAAAATTAAAACAGGATTGTAAGGGAAGTGAATTACTTACATCTATCATGGCATTTTTCTTAGCCATCTTCTCCTGGTGTTTTCTTCTTGTTTCTTTTGTGTCCTTTTGTTCTGTATTTTATAGAAAAAAACTTCTGCTATTACACAATATTCATAAAAGACATTACATATTAAGGCACGAATGACACACCAAATTAAGACTGGTCATTACAAATGGCCCTGTCCATTTAAAATGCAATTTTGAGGTGTGTTATTAGTGCAGAGAAACAGATCTTTTTGCACCTGTTTCGCATTAGCTCAAAAAGAGTTCAGAGCATCTACCAAAAACAGTAGTTTTGAAAGAAGGTTTTTTTCCCTCTGGGGTGCAGAGGAAGGACTGCCCTTCTATCCCCACTCCTACTACAGGTACCCACACAAACAATATGTTTCATTGCTCACCTTTGTCTCTGATGTTTCTTGTAGCTCTGGAGACAGTACTGCCAAAAAAAGACATTATGAACATTGAGGGCAAACCAACTGGATGAAGGTAATCTAATTATCATAGTTTTCAAAATGATTTATATACTGTAGGCCTTCTCAAACCAAAATATTGATATTTGTAGTTGGGACAAAGTATGATAAATTTAGATTTTTAGCATTTTAGATTTTAGATTAGATTTTAGATTTTAGCAGCAATCCTCAAACAGGCTGATCACAAATGAAGCTGCTGACAATTATTATTTTGCTCTATTTGTAAAAGTCTGTCAGGAATAAACATTTTATCCTTTAACTCTAAATAAATTTTTAAAAACAATATTAATCTTGCATATAATCCATATAATCCTTCTAAGAAATTATTTTATCTCAAAACTGGGATCTGGAAGGAACTATATTAAAATTTGATTTGAATTCTTAATACATATTAGAAATATTTCTGCTTTAAAATAATCATAGTTTTTTGGGCAGAGGAGGCCTTTGTGCACAAATGATGATGTAAACAAATGGATTGTTTGTCATGGGTGCAGGTGTATGGTGGAGGGGACAGCATACCCTCCACAATATTGTTTTTACCTCTACAGCCAAAAACAGTAGGAAGGGGGGCTCTTTCCCCTCTCTCACTAATTTGAGCCATCCACCTGGTGAATTGAAAAAAGGGTGAACCTTCTCCAGTGCTATCTGTCACATTACGTCTTTGAATCCTAAATCCTAGATTCAGACATGTAAATTGACAAGTAAATGAATAAAACCGAAGATCTCTTACCTCAAAGAGAGCTTTCCCTGCATAATAGAGGAAAGTCTCCATGATGGAGCTAAACTAAACCATAACAAATTCACATGCATGGCAGGTGCTAGCATGGCCAGTGATTTTTGTTCCTTCCCAATTGCACTGAACAACATGAATGAACAACACCAGTTCAATTGGGAAGGAACAAAAATCATTGGCCATGCTAGCACCCACCATGAATTTATACACTGCAAAAAGATTTGGACCTCTCAACTCAACCAGGTTAAAGCAATAGATGCAATCTACATACACTTCTGCAAAGCTTTGATTCAGTGGTACATGACAAACTTCTGTTAAAACTAAGTTCTTATGGCATTTCTGGATCTTTGCACAAGTGGATAGCTACATTCCTATCAAACAGGCAACAAGTAGTTAAAATTGGAAACAATATATCAAACCCTGCACCAGTTAACAGTGGTGTTCCCCAAGGCAGCGTTCTAGGACCAACACTCTTTCTGCTCTATATAAATGACCTTTGTGATCATATTACAAGCAGCTGCATCCTCTTTGCTGATGATGTAAAACTATTTTACACCACAGATAATTCTACTACCCTATAAAATGATCTAGATTATGTATCTGAATGGTCAAAAAATTGGCAACTCCAAATTTCTGCTAACAAATACTCAGTCCTGCACATTGACAATAAAAATCAACATCAAGTACAAGCTGGGCAGAAACGATCTAAAAGATGACCCACATTCTGTCAAGGACCTAGGAGTACTCATTTCAAAAGATCTAAGCCCCAGAGCTCACTGTAACATTGCTAAAAAGGCACTAAGAGTTGTCAACCTTATTTTATGAAGTTTTCTCTCTGGTAATGCTATACTTCTAACTAGGGCATACAAAACCTTTGCCAGACCTATCCTTGAATACTACTCACCTGCCTAGAACCCACACTGTATTTCAGACATTAATACATTAGAGAGGGTCCAGAGGTATTTTACAAGAAAAGTACTCCACTCCTCTGCTCGCAGTAAAATTCCTTATACCACCAGGCTTGAAATTTTAGGCCTGGATAACCTTGAACTACACCATCTACATTCCAACCTAAACTTAGTACACAAGATTATCTACCATAATGTCCTACCTGTTAATGACTACTTTAACTTCAACTGCAATAATATAAGGGCTATCAATAGATACAAATTAAATGTAATCTGCTCTAATCTTGATTGCAGAAAATATGACTTCAGCAATAGAGTAGTAAATGTCTGGAACACTCTACCTGATCCTGTTGTTAGTTTCTCTAACCCACATACCTTTTGCCTTAAACTGTCTATCATGGACTTTACACGTTTTTTAAGAGGTTCCTAAGGGGGCATGCATAAGTGCACCAGTGTGCCTATCATCCCTGTCCTACTGTCCCCATTTACAGTATATGTACTCATTTTATGTGTTTATGGTTATGTTTTGCCTATTTATATCCATTTATTTGTGCCAATTTTCATGTGTCCATGTCTATGTCTATACTGATACTTGTTCCCTTGTACTTGTTGACAAATAAATAAATAAATACATACATACATAAATTTGTTAAGGCCTAGTATTCTACAAAAGGAGCAATTAACAAACATATTGACCTACATCCAGCATGTGACTATATAAGAAACCAGACCATTCGAACTACCAATCAACAAAAGAACCAATCAGCTGCTCAGAATTTAAATATAGTTCCAAACGAACAACCAACTGAACGACCAACTGATCCAACTGCCACACAAGGCATTTATAAGCTAAGGAGAATAGGACAAGACAATCCTGCTGCTGATGTTACCTAGTCTGGTAACAAAACATTCAGAAACTAAATTGAAATGAGCTTGGAGAGCAAACCACTGACAAAATCCTTTGATTCCTATTTTACTTCATTATCAAATGTTAATATAGTTCCTTCCAGATCCCATTACTTATGTCACAATATCTGTTGTGTTACCTCTTTGAATCCTAAATCCTAGAGTCAGACATGTAAGTTGACAAGTAAATAAATAAAACTGAAGATATTTTACATCAAAGAAGGCTTTCCCTGCATAATAAAGGGAAGTCTCCATGATGGCACTAAACTGAACCCTAACTAAACTAAACTAAACCCTAACAAATTCACATGGATGGCAGGTGCTAGCATGGCCAGTGATTTTTGTTCCTTCCTAATTGAACATGAACGAACACCACCAGATTGATTGGGAAGGAACAAAAATCATTGGCCATACTAGCACCTGCCATGAATTTGTTGAGGCCTAGTATTCTACCAAAGGAGCAATTAACAAACATATTGACTTACATAAAGGCATATGAATATATAAGAAACCAGACCATTCGAACAACCAATCAACAAAAGAACCAATCAGCTGCTCAGAATTTAAATATAGTTCTAAACGAACAACCAACCAAACGACCAACTGATCCAACTGCCACACATGGTATTTATAAGCTAAGAAGAATAGGACAAGACAGTCCTGCTGCTGATGTTACCTAGTCTAGTAACGAAACATTCAGAAACTAAACTGAAATGAGCTTGGAGAGCAAACCACTGACAAAATCCTTTGATTTCTATTTTACTTCATTATCAAATGTTAATATAGTTCCTTCCAGATCTCATTACTTATGTCATATTAACTGTTGTTTTACCTCTTTGAATCCTAAATCCTAGAGTCAGACATGCAAGCTGACAAGTAAATAAATAAAACTAAAGATCCTTTACCTCAAAGAGGACTTTTCGTGCGTAATAAAGGAAAGTTTCCATGATGGAGTTAAACTAAACCATAAGTGAGCTAAACTACACTAATCCTAACTAAGTAAACAAATATATTAAATATGATATGATAAATACATAAATAGTGTGATAAATAAACAAACAGGTATGATATTAAGCAAACAAATGAATAAACAAACTAATACTGTAAAGTAAAGTAAACCTAAGGTATGTAAAAACAAAAGCAAATTAATCAGCCAATTCTGACTAACTAAGTAAACCACCCACACAGAGATAAAAATTCTGGTGAATAGCTTTCATTCAGCTGACCAAAAAGTTGTATTTACTTCACCTTTGTAAGCTCATCTACCTGTCAGCAGTATTATGAGGCTTGACCTCAGAAAGGAAAAGCAAAGTCAACTGATGGCTGAATGAATGCTACTCAGGAATTCATTTATTTTTCAATATTTGCAGAAATGTAAATACAAAATCCTGCTGATGCGTTTGGTGGAATTAGAGGATGAACTAACAAGAAAAAAGCCATAGAAAAGTAGTGCCACTGAAGAAAGCAGGGAGATCTCTGGAGAAATATGTACAATTTAGGGTGGAAAAATGGTGCAGAGTTGAATGAGCAGAATTGGAGAGATGTCTGTGTAAATTACAGTATGGCTCTTGCTCTATCACACTGTACTTGCCCATTCCTCTTGAATGAGCTTCAGGGAGGCTATGGATTTACATTTGGTGGGTCTCGAGACACATCTCTTCTCAATTGTGATGCCCTCCGTACTGAATATTCTTCCCTAGATTAAGTCAATCCCATCTCTTTCGATTTTTGAAAAAGGCTTAAGAATACAGTGATATACAATATATATATACAGTGGGCACCTGAGCTAGATGGGGAAGCAGGGAAGAGGTTCAGAGTAAGGTAGCTTCACTCTTAGACTTTCCCAGGGTTTATTTCATAATTAGAAGGTAAAGCTCAGCTTTGGCAGGATGCTATCCATTAGTTGTAGCAAATAAAAGATTGAATCCAATTGGGTTTCCCTGTGTCCTTTGAGGGTTTAGGCCTGATACTGGGGTTTTCTTGGAACCAAAGTCCTATCTAGATGGTTTCATTATTGGAAACATTTTTATTTCCTTCAACGACAAGATTTCCAGTTTTATCTGTATTTGCTATTTTTATATTCTTATTTTTTTTTTAATCTTTTGCATGCTGCCTAGCATCACTTTGGGCGATATAGACAGCTATATAAATTTGTTAAATAAGCAAATAGGTAAATAAATAAAGTGTTTATATGGGACTATATAAAACTTATAATAGCTTACATAGGACTTCACTTGAAGTCCATATAAGTTAGGATTTTTTCCTTTCCTTTTCCCTTTCCACGTCATTCTTTTTTTATCTCATTATAGTATATTGTGAGCCCTGCTTTTTGGGTTGATTTTGTTCTTTGCTTATTTTTGCTATTGACCTTGAATAGCTCAGGAACAGTTACTCTGAATATTAAGGCTTCTATTTACAACTGATTACACATGCACATGATGCCAGTAGATGACCATATATGTTGCTCAAAGATGATCTGTCGAGTCCTTGGTGCTCTCTGAACATGGTTCCTTACATGACCAGCTAACATCTTCCTTGCTAGAAGGGAGTGGAGTTGGCTCCCTGTTTATATACAGCAGCTTACCCTGCCAGTGTTGGTGGAGCTGTAGTTTTGTCTTCAATAGTTCCTTGATTAGGGCATTGTTTTCCACTTGGATGTTGGTCAACTGAGGTTGCATGGCTAATAAACACTACTAATTGGAAACTCTGTTCTCCCATAAAAAGCATTTCCTTTAGGGGAAAAAAAACACTACGAAATAATTCCTCTCTTTTACAAATCTTGTCAGGGAATCAATAGGACAGTTTCAAAAAGGGACAATATAAATCCTCTTTTGATGTCACAGATCAGTAAAGAATTGGGGTGTGGGTCATGATGCATAACCACATGACATCCTTCAAGTCCAGCAGTCCCACTGACCTCTGCCAATGGCCCAGTGGAGATCAGTTTGGATGCTTTCCCCCAAAATATATCATAGAAGTCTGTCATGCAAGTGTGCATGTGCAAAATTTCCCAGGCCTAACAAATATAATCCTCAGGCACCAGCTAGCTGTGGTTATTACAGGCAACAGATGGCTGTGTCCATTGAGGGAGATGCTGCTGGCATTCCTGGGCTCTCAACTTCATCCCAAATTTCTGCCATGTTTTACCAGAGACTTCAGTGATTTACCCATCCTTCACCTACACTCGGATGTTGTGCTTCGATCATGGCTGGTGCTGCCTCGTGATACTGGCAATCATTGGGGTGCAGTTGCAGCCTGTGTGGAACAGCAGGAGTGTGGGGATACTGTTAGAGTTTGCAGCAATCCAACCAGCACACAAGTAAACAATTCAGCACGATTCATTATATAAGAAACTTCTTTATATACAATATCATACATACAGCAGAAGCCAGAACCAGAACTCAGAATCCAGAAGTACAGAATAAATAATCACAGAAGCTATATTCACAGAAGCAATATAATACAGGGCAGGGGTGAAATCCAGCAGGTTCTATCAGGTTCTGGAGAACCGGTAGCGGAAATTTTGTGTAGTTCTGAGAACTGGCAAATACCACCTCTGGCTAGCCCCAGAGTAGGATGGGAATGGAGATTTTGCAGTATCCGTCCCATGGAGTGGGGTGGGAATGGAGATTTTGCAATATCCTTCCCCTGTCACACCCAGCAAGCCATGCCCACAGAACCGGTAGGGAAAAATTTTGGATTTCACCCGCTACAGGGGCAATAATGCAAGGACAAACCAAGTCTTACATAACAGTCAAGCTAAGCCACGCCCACGCTCCAAACTGAGTCACCAAACAGTCCCTATTGGCTGACCTGTTATCATGTCTATTCCAGTTCATGATACATCTTATACACTGACAGATATGAAGTTTGGCACTTTGAAATATGATGCCATTGTCATCAGTGGCAGGTGAAGTTAACACAACAGACTATTCTCCCATGCTTAAAGTGGACATTTATAAATATATACCATACATTTTATATGAAACATGTATTTCCTGAAAACAGTTTGGTGTCCATATTACTAGTTGTATTCTATTATAAGCTGAGTCACGATGATGCCATTATTTAATTCATACCACACACTGATGGGTTTATGCAACAATCTAAAATTGAGTTTTTTTAGCTGGTTTGTTGTATCTAGTACACAATGTTCATTGTGGCGAGACCTCACAATAAAAATGCTGCCCAACCTATACCAAATTAGGGAAGTCTGGATAAACAATGATAGCCTGAATAGATTTTTAAAAACTAACTGAATGCAAAAACAAACAAAAATTAAAGGGAGAAAAAAGTAAAAGAGGAGAAACAAAAACCTACAAGACGCACATTTACAGGCATATATATTTCAATAAATGGATGACATAATTCATAGCAGACATCCATAGCTGATCTATAATAATCAATTCTATGAATGGTTTGGAGCCATATGTTTGACTTTCTGGTGCTTAATAGTAAGTCTTTTGACCTGAAGTCTATTTTTTTGTGTGCAAAAGGCTGTAATCCAACATCTCTTGATTTTTTAATATATATATATATTATTGATTAAGACATGCGAGCAAAGGAAAAACAAAAAAGAATTGTATATACATACTTAAAGAACTTTTAAAAAAATATTAAAAAGTAAAAGAAACAAAAATTTTAAAAAATCATAAAAAGTGCAGTCAATAAGCAATTCTCTCCCCCCTCCCCGACAACTGCTTCAGCTACTGATTTAGTTCAGTGATTCTTAGCACCTCTGCCTTTGGGTAGATCTTCCCGCTGCTGTGGCTAGTTGCACTAGGGCCACTGGGAAATGTTTTTGATGTTGTATTTGATGATGCTTTTGATGTTGTATTGACATGTTGAAAGAATAGACTATAATCTGCTGCACTAGTCCAATGTAGGTTGGTGGATGGAATAAGTGTTAGTCTGGGCATGGCCTATTTGACTTAGGTGACCCTTCTGGAGATATACATATCCAACAACATAGTCCATGATTTAATTTACCCTCATGAACCCCTTCAACTCATCAAGGCTCCGATCATAGACTGCATTTGTTAGCCACAGCAATCCAGCCCGTTCTGGTTGTCCCTGATTGGGTAAAGTAAGGAGCAGAGGGAGTCCCAAAAAACGACTGCAGGTGTCTTTGAAGTTGAAATATTCACTGAACTAGATTAAAAACAAGTAGGTTAGAAGAGAATCACAATAGTTCAATCCTGTATTTAAAGACTGCATTTGAAGACAAACAGCATGTTCCTTTTTTGAACAAAAATAAGCATTTCAATAAAAAAACTAACACATTAAATTATTTATGAAATAGCATTTTTGTCCAATCAAAACTAGTCACATTGAAGTAAACAATAATTGAAGCTGGTGAATAATTTTTTGGTGGAAATTAGCAGGCAGAAAATTAGCAAGATTTTTCATCACATTTGCTTTTGGAATCATTCAGCCCAGCATATCAAGTCAAGCCATCTAAATTCTATTTCTAATGCACGAGAGAGTGCATGTTGTCTAAAATCTCGTATTTCATGGCTGAATGATGTACCCCAATTATTGGTCATCTGTGGCTCTTTTTTGATCTTGGTATAGAATCCTGCAGAATTTGAAAATCTCAGAAAAACACCTTGAAAAATTTACAGAGAATTTTTTTTCATTTTTTTTTCACGACACGTATGTGAATTTCCTATGAAACAATGTCCTCTCAGTAATTTCAATTTTTATATGTGAAATTATATTTTACGTAATTTCACATTTGTCCAAGAAACATGGCATTTCATCTTTGACAATATCATATTTGGTTAAATGTTTTTGAATAGGTATACCTGGGAAGTCCTGGGAATAACCTTGGAATTGGTTCAAGGGTATCTTCTCGCTGTGTTGCATTTTGATGATGGATGATTTCACTGTGGTAGCAAAAATGCAGATATGTAACAAAATGTAAGCTAATCATGAAATACTCAAACATGATAAATTTATTAAAAAGAGTGAAACAAAAAACTATCCTAATACTTATCTTCTATTTCTATCCTTTGGCGGGATTGCTCATCTCTTTCATCAGTGTTGTAATAGGCCACTTTGTGGCTCCTGATCCCAAGGTGCTGTAAAACAGTAAACATTGTGTTACAAAATTGATTTTATTTTAACTACTGAATTTTGTATGATATCTTTTCTACTGAATAAAAATACACAATATCTTAAAATGTATTATTTACCTTTTCAAAACATTCATAAGTCTTATATGAGGATCCAGCAGAATCTGAAAAGAGTTAAACAAATATTTTAGAACAGAATTATCTAGATTTTTCATGGTTTTTATGCTATGTCACCTTAGGAAAAATGCATTTTATTAACCTTGCATTTACTTACAACTGCTTATTTTGCCATGAAAAATATTATTGTATCGAATAATACAAAGGAGCTGGATTTTTATAAGAACTATTTTTGATCTATTCAAAGAAAGCATGCTGCTAAAATGTTATAAAATTCTAGTGAGGGAGGATGAAGAGATGACATTCCCAATTGTGACTTTCCAAAGTAGAGAGTCATCAAATGAAACATGTTTATTTCTCTCCCACAAACGGAAGGACAAATCTTACCATTGTCTTTGGGTTTTCTATTTCTTCTGAGGCATATGGAATTGAATATTTTACACATTTTTTAATATATTTTTCTCAATAGCCTCTTGGAGTATTTTATGTTTTTGGGTCTCCTTTGCTATTTCCTGTAAAATAAAATTGATGAAGCACGATCAGAATTTAACTTTTAATCCATTATATAATTTTACTTAGTGAGATTGTTCTAATTTCTTACTACTATGTAAAATACTTACAATTTTCAGTTGATCCATTTCTTGATGGAAACACTGAATTTCCGCTTTTAGTTTTTCACACTACTCTTAATCACTGCCAGCTCCTTCTTCATTTGCAGCCTGGGGGAAAGGAGTGTAAAAGAAGAATAATTGGCTATAAAGGTGTACTGCTGATGTTACTAAGTTGCGCAATGAAACATCTGCAAAAAAACCACCAAGCTCAGAGAACACCAAGGACCCCACAGTGTAGCTTCTCTGTCTGATTAAAACTGAATGCATTTCCTTCACCTAGAATCATATGGCTGGAAAGGACCTTGGAGGTCTTTTAGTTAAATCTCCTGCCTAAAGCAGGAATTGTTATACCATCCTGAATAAATGGACTTTTCTTAAAAACCTCCGGTAATGGAGAACCTACCACTCCGGCAGGCAAGCTATTCCATTGATTAATTGCTCTCACTATCTGGAAATTTCTTAGTTCCAGATAGGAATTCACTTTAAAGAGCTTCCACACATTGCTTCTTGTTGAGCTCTTAGGTGCTTTTGAGAATATGTCAACCCCCTCATATGTATGACTGCCCCTCAAATATTGGAAGACAGCTATCATGCCACTCCTAACCTTTTCTTTGATAGGCTCCCTTAACCGATCACCGTAGAATTTAGCCTCCAGACCTCTTATCATCTTAGTTGCTCTTTTCTGCACTCTTTCTAGACTCTCAGCATCTTTTTTGTATTGTGGCGACCAGAACTGGATGCAGCATTCCAGGTGTGGCCTCACTAGTGTGGTATAGAGCAGTACTATCACTTGTGAATTTGATGCAATCCTTTTCTTGAGGTGGCCTAGAACTGCATTGGCTTTTTTTGGCAGCTGCAGCACATTGCTGGCTCATAGTTAAGTGTTAGTCCGTTAGGACACCTAGATCCCTCCCATAGTTGCTACTATTGAGCCAGTAACTGCCTATAGTGTGCATTTGTTTTTTTCCTGCAAATGTGATCAGGTCCCCTTCTATCCCTTCATTTAGCTCATTGATGAAGATATTGAGGAGCCCAAGACAGAACCTTGAGGTACCTCACTGCATGCTTCCCTCCAGGGAGATGTAGTTTCACTGAGACCTTACATGCTGAGTGTGGTTGGTCGGCCAAGTGCAAAGCCATCTGGTGGTGGTACTGTCTATCCCACACTATTATCCCACTATCTTAGGAAGACATAGGCTGTGGTCTACTTTGTCAAATGCCTTACTGAATTCTACATATGCTACATTCACAGCATTTCCACTTATTTATTCCACTAATTAAGTTACTAATACAATTCTATGTCCTTATTTATATATCATACATGTATTTTCCTTGGTCTTTTTCCAGTCGGTTGTTTCTCACTTGGAAGGTCTTCTTCCTCTTAGGCAGGCCCTGGCAAAAAATAACAAAATAACTAGTACTTGTAAAGCTAAACTTAATAAGAAATAAATCACTTTCTTTTTAAAAGGAAAGTAATTAAAATGTTGTTAAGTTGAAATTATACTCACTTCCTTGACTTTGAAGGAGTTTCTCCTTCAAGTATTTGTTTTGTTTCACAAGGCTTTCAATTTCGCTTGTCAAGAACTTGTTCTCCTCCTCCAGCTAAGATGCAGAAATTATAAGAAACATTCAGTAAGCATAGAATACAAATAAACAAACAAAAAGAGAAAGCTAAAACAGGATTGTAAGGGAAGTGAATTACTTACATTTCTTATCATAGCATTTTTTTTAGCCAACTTATATATATTTTCTAAGTTGGTCTTTAACAGTATTTAACAGTACTGTACTTAAAATGGTGTAGCTCAGGGTATACTTTTTACAGGAATAATCCATATTTCTCTCACCTCTTGTTCTGTATTTTATGGAAAAACACTTGTACTATTACACAATATTCATGAAAGACATTGCATATTAAATCACCAATGACACACCAAATTAAAACTGGTCATTACAAATGGCACAGTCCATTTAAAATGCAATGCAGGGAAACAGATTTTTTGCATCTTTCCTCCCAATAACTTAAAGGGAGTTCAGAGCCTCTCCCTAAAATAGTACTTCTGAAGGAAGGGTCCCCCCCTGTGGTTTAGAGGAAGGAGTGCCCTTCTATCCCCACTCCTGCTACAGGTACCCATACAAACAACATGGTTGGTTATTCACCTTTGTCTCTCTGATTTTTCCTGTATTTCTGGAGACAGGACTGCCAAAGGAAGACAAAGGGGTGAATTAAGCTCATTCTTTATCAAAGTGCTATTAAAGAAAGAACTACAAGACCCAGAAAGCTGTCCTGTCTTCCCTCTATCCTTTTCCAAGCTACGCTTCCCCGACTTTTAATGCTTCTTCATTCAACTTTCCAGAGCTTGATAATGATGGAGAGAGCTTTATTTCTGGCTGGAGTCATATCCAGTTGCAATGCGGTTTGGCTGCTTTCTTACTGTTCATCCTAAAGCACTTTGCAGTAGGCAAATTGCTTGGGCTATAAAGCAGTAGTGGGTTGCAAATCCCGTTGCTACCAGTTTGCTCATGGCCACTTGTACACTCGTGCGCATGATGCTTCTGCGCATGCACAGAAGCGTTCAGGTGGGTGGGTGGAGCTTCCCACCACCACCGCTACCTGTTTTCCCGATCCGGGGTGAACCGGTAGCAACCCACCACTGCTATAAAGCCACATTTTGAAAAGGAAGGTAACTACATCGATCTATTATCAATCTTACATTGTAGCATCTTCATATCCTAGTTTTCAAAGTAATTTATATATGCTTTGTCTAAGCAAAATGTTGATTTTTGTAATTGGGACAAAATATGGTGAATTTGGATTTTTAGCAGCAAACAGGCTTACAACAAATGGAGCTGCTGAAAATAATTATTTTGCTGTCCTTCCCTCTGTAAGTCTGTAAGAATAAAAATGCAATTCTCTAGTTTCGAATAGATTTTTGAAAACAATATTATTCTTGCAAATAATCCATATAATTCTTCTAAGAAACTATTATATTTTTCAAAACTGGGATCTGAAAGGAACTATATTAAAATTTGATTTGAGTTCATATATATATATGTGTGTGTGTGTGTACAGTTAATATCTCGGGTTTCTTCCTGTGTAATTGTAAACATATCCTTAAAAGGGTAGTAGCGACGTTTCAACGAAATCGCATTCATCATCTTCTGGCTGATGTTCTAGGTTTGGTGCTTATGGGCAAACTGTGTGATCGTAACTGACGTTTTTCTATGAAAAGAGGCAAAGGTGTATTCTGATTGGTCGACAGTGTTGTTGTATTCTGATTGGCTGATGACGTAGCTGTATTTTGATTGGGTGGAAGCGCTGTTGTTTGGTTGTGGGTCAATGGATAAGTTATGCTGGAACTGGTGGCAACACAGGCATTTTGATGAACCTTTGATCTATGTTTTATATTTTGTGTTAAGATTTGTCTGTCTATGAGAGCAGGTTTCCAAATAGTAGGCAGACGGGAAGTGTCATCACATTTATTCATACAATATGGCATTTTCTCTATTTCAATGTCCTCTCTGATTATTCTGCCATTGAGATGTTCTATTTTTGCAACTGTTTTTGTGTTATTAAAATTAATATTATGTCCTGTGGCATTTATGTGTTGTATTAATGATGATGTGTGTTCTTTCTTTTGTACTGAGTTTTTAAGTTCCTCGATGTGCACACTCATTCTTCTGTTGGTCTGTCCAATATATGTTGAGGGCAGGAAGCACACGGGATTTCGTATATGCCTTGATCTTCTAATTCTATTTTGTCTTTAGTGTTTCTCAGAATAGACGATATCTTTCTATCTGTGCAAAATATGGTTTTGATGTTGTGTCTATGCAGTATTTTGCTAATTTTATCCATATTATATATATATATATATATTGTAAAGTTAGATTAGGATGATGTGATATCAGCTAAAACCAAATTTGCTTGGGAATTTATTTGTTTATTTGTTCATTTGGGGAGGGGATGTCTTTGTGAAAGTTGGTGTGATTTTCATAGGCTACAAAATTTGCCAGATTGTATCGTAACTGTTCTCTGCTTCTTGATTATTCTTCCAATGTTAATCTTGGTGTTTATGCTCATCTGAGTGTTGATTGCTCGTGGGGAGGTATTTTGGTCTTGGCTGGCTGGGCATGGCCATGGTGGATGTGGTCAGGGGTGTGACAGGCAGCACTCAGCCTCCTGTGCCCTCCTGGGAGCAAAAACAGATCACAGGGGGGCACACTGCCCCCCTGCACCAGTTTTGGGCCTAGTAGACCTCCCTCCAGCCTCCTGGGAGCAAAAACGGGTCGCAGGGGGCCACACCGCATCCCCTACACCCCATTTTGGGCCTAGTAGGCCTCCTTGCACTTACCTGGCAGTCAAAATGAGGCACGTGGGGACTTCTGGAAGGGGTGGGGCGGGGCCAGCCAGCAATTTAACAACTGGTTCGGACAAAGTGGTGTGAACCGGTTGAATCCCACCACTGGTCTTTTCATTCTTTTTTGTTTGTTGATTGTCTCTTTTGTTCAGTGTGTAGATGTTTATGTTTGTGTGTCTATTGATCGCCAATTTGTTAGTGTGCCCGGCTTCCAGGAATTCTGTAACATTTTTGGACTTGGTCTAAGATGGCCAATGAGATAAATGCGTAATATGCCCGATAAGATTGCACAATGCACAGATTGCAAATTGCATAGATATTCTCCACTATTGCAAAGATTGCACAACGTTTTTAGGACAGAAAACCAAGCATTGCCGCATAATCTTTCTTTTTCTTATAAAAACCTATCTCAGTGGCCAACTTTAGTGCCATTAGTTCAGTATTTCTCAGCCTTGTTCATCTGAAGAGATGTGGAGTTCAACTCTCAGAATTCATGCTGAGAGAGAATTCTGGGATTTGAAATTCACATATATTCAAGTGGCCAAGGTTGAGAAACACTATCCTTGTTAATGGAGAGAGAGAGAGAGAGAGAGAGAGAGAGAGAGAGAGAGAGAGAGAGTGGACGGAGACATCCCACCCCCCTGACTTCTGAGAGGGAAATGGGCAGTTCTTAAATATGAAAACAAACAAATAGCCTGTGTTCTATTCTCATGACACACTAAACTGCATTGGCCATTAGTCATGGTTACGGGCCATAAGGATGAAGCACCCAGCAGACAACAGTTGGTGAATATTGTCACTCCACTATCCTATACCCCTTTTTAGCACTAGAGAAGGTTCAGCTTGTTCCTAGATTCCTTTGATTCCTATTTTACTTCATTATCCAATTTTAATATAGTTCGTTCCAGATCCCATTACTTATGTCATGTTATCTGTCGTGTTACCTTTTTGAACTCTAAATCCTAGAGTCAGACATGGAAGTTGAGAAGTAAACATATAAATAAAACTGAAGATCTCTTACCTCAAAGAGGGCTTCCCCTGCATAATAGAGGAAAGTGTCCATGAAATAAGGTAAATCCTAAGTAAGCTAAAATAAACTACTACTAAATAAACAAATTTATTAAATATGATATTTATTAAATAAATAAATAAATAAATAGTATATGTAAATAAGTGTGATATAAGTAAATAGATGAATAAATAAACAAATATTATAAAATAAAACAAACCTAAACTATGTAAATAAAGTTAAATAAAACAAAAGCAAATTAACCAACCAATCCTCAGTAACTAAGTAAAGCATCCACACAGACATAAAAGATCAGGTGAATAGCTATCATTCAGCCCACCAAAAAGTTGTAAGTTTACTTCTCCTTTATGGGCTCATGCACTTGTCAGCAGTGTTATGAGGTGTGACCTCAGAAAGGAAAAGCAAAGCAAGCTGATTAGCTGAATGAAAGCTACTCAGAGTTTTATCTATTTTTCAATACTGGTAGAAAAGTAAATACAAAATCCTGCTGATGCGTTTGGTGGAATCAGAGGATGAAGTAACAAGAAAAATTGAAAAATTAGTGTCTCTGAAGAAAGCAAGGAGATGTCTGGAGAAATACGCACAATTGAGAGTGAAAAAGTGGTGCAGTGGTGAATGAGCAGAACTGGAGAGATTTCTGTGTTTGGAAAGTAAATTACACTGTGGGTGTTGCTCCACCAAACTTCAACAAATACTTCTTACTGGAACTTGGTAGAACAATAAGGAGAGCTGAAGATTTAGAGATGAGTTTATAGAAAACTGGGTGAGGTGTGGAATGAAGATGTTTTGGGTTGCAATTTAAGTAGACAGTGATAAATCGTTAATGTTGAATATGTTTGCTGGAGATGAAGTGGAAGGTTTCCTTTGGACAGATCTTTGGACATCTTCTTTGGACAGATTGTTTTTCCTTTTTTTCTCATTTGTCTTTATACATATATTGTGATATTAGGTAATTCTTAGTAAAATTATGAAAACAGGACATGAGTGTTCCTCTCAGTCCTGCCCTTAATGGCCACTAATCTGAAAGTCTCCCAATTTATAGACCAACGAAGGAGACCTCATGTGATGATAAAGTGTTAGACTGGCACCAAGGGATCTTTTCTACTATCTTTTCCTATTAGTATCTTATGGTTATATACTTTGTTGTTTGTATGTACACTGAGAGCTTATGCATTGGAGACTAATTCCTTGTGTTTCCAATCACACTTAGCCAATAAATAATCTTCTCTCCTCCCCTCTCCCCTCTCCTCTCCTCCCCTCCCTTCCACTCCATTCCATTTCATTTCACTTCTCTGGTTGGAGAAAGCTGCTTATACTTTCTTAAAGCAGATATCACATTTTCTAAGTGCATAGCCTAATTCATTCACATTAGAAAGCACTCTATTGAGTGGATTATATTTTTTTCATTCTCCCCTTCCTTGTTTATGGTAAAAACTCTCTGAAAAGTTAAAATGAACACAAAAAGTAATAACAGCTTTAGCTTTTCTACCCTGCAATGCTAGCTTTCTATTTACTGGAAGGTTTTTTTAAAAAAACATAAGAAAGTAGTAAAATGCTTTCTCTGGTATTTTGGACCCCTTATTCCAATCCAATATATTTGGTAGCTCTTATTGTAGAATGACACTACTTCAGTCATAGAATTTTATATCAGGTTCAAATGCCATTGACCTCCATTATTGTAACACTTCCGTCTTTTTGTCTTTTTCTTTTCTTATTTGCACTCACATTGCATGCTTCTTACATTCTAGTAGATATTTCATTCTGGGCTGATGGGCTGCTACATTTAAAAAAAAATAATCCTGCATTTTCTGAATTTTTGACACGGTGAGCTCAAAAAATTCACAACACTGGTCTAGTGAGAAGAAACAATCCCTGAAGGAAAGGCAGCTGCTGGTAGACTGGCCCACCCAGGAGCCGGAAAGGAAGAATTCCCTTCCCTGGATGGAGAGGAAAGACAAGAGGCAGAGGAATTGCCCATCAAGTCTTGCAATGGCCGAGCTCAAGATTTTGAGTAAATTATAATATTTTCACAAGTATTATCACTGTCCCTACTAGCACTGATGATGTTACCTACATTGGCAATGAAATGTCTGGAAGAAAACCATCAAACTCAGAGAGCACCAAAGATCCTCACATACACTGTGTAGTTATGACATTTTTCTGTCTTTGATTGGTTTTCTCTGGAAAGAAAAATTATAAAAATGGGAAAAGACTGGAGTGTTACAGCAATGAAGGTGAATGGCATTTGGACCCGCCATAAAATCCAATGAATAAATTGGTGTCATTGTATAATACCTATCTGGTATATAATTGGGATGGAAACAAGGGTCCAGAATACCAGTGAAGAAACAAATTTTCAGACATAAATGGATGACTAGGAGCTGAACTAGAAGCCAGGAAAATAAGTCAGGGAGTGTGCTACTGTTGCATTTGCATTTTCTCACTGTCTGTCTTGCTGTACTGATTCTTCAGAAGAATCCATTAGGATATATACAGGACTTTCCAATTTCCCTCAAATAATTGCTTTCAGATTTGTCTGCTTCTAACATTCATGTGAAAGAGGCCCATAGCAAAACAAATGCACCCGGTCCTAAATTCATGGCAGAGGCATCCACAGGAAGGATGTAAAAAATCAAAGTTGTGCACAAGCTGATGCAATTGAAACCACTCATTTTGTATATGTGTCAAGCTCACCATCATGTCAAAAGGTATGGGACTTTGACTGTATGCTCATGACTGCCCCTTTGATTGCACCCCTCTGCTGTTATTGCTTTTTCAACTTTTTTATTCTTATCCAGCTCTTTTAACCAAGCTGTGTCCTTGTTGTGTTTCATTGGTTCATCCCATATCTATGTCCAGAATTGTACTATTTCTGTTTCTACCATCCTGACTGTTTTCTTATCAACAATTCTTAAATCTGGGGTCTTATGTAGTAGTTGTAACTAGTGATTGTTCATGAGATAGAGTTACATGATCTCATTTTAATGAACTCATTTATTTCTGCTTTAGCAATCTGTAAAATAAAGATAAACAGCTGCAGAGATGGTTACAACTCAAGCATGAAAACTTTTTAAGAGTAGTTCCTAATGCTAAAACTAGCACAGCATTTCATTTACAAAGAAACAGGGAAATAGAGGGAAATTATTTTAACATTAGAAATATATTGTCAGAATTCATAGACCATCTTTCTTTTGCAAAAGGCCTCACAGACAACAACTATTGTTATATTTTAAAAGAATTATCAGGGATCTAATCATAGATGCTTTATTTGTCATCTAGTTTGACTCTCTCCTCTAGCAACTAATAATACATGCTAGGAATATCTGTCCTTATATTCATCTAAAGTGCATAACTAAATATATATGGCAGATGCAGATACTGGAGTGCTTCAGTTTGGCAAGAGTCTGTCTCCAGGTGTGGAACAATGAACTCTGTGTGGAAGAATCACCATGTGTCTTTCTTGTTTTGTTGGGCCTGACATGGAACTAATTATTGTTCATGGGCTAGAATGACATGATCTCATTTTAATGAATTCATTGAATGTTTAATTTCATGTAGATTGGATATTTATTTAATCACTCCCAAATGATTCATATTTTAGCAATTTGGAGTTGAGTTAATTAAAAACCAGTTCAACTGAAAAATTATTGTGAACCAAACTAAAGAAATCACAGACACATTTTGAAAGGAAGTGAGGAAAGGAATATGGAAAGTCAGTGAAAGAAGCATCAAGAATGAACTGGAGTTGGAATTGAAAAAAAGAATTGAGGAATTGAAAAAAATAAATCAACTAGGAATTTACAAGAAAGAACAGGGTCACACACAGAACTACTTCTCAAATGCCCAGTCAGTTTGGGTCAAAAGCTCATGTTAATTAAATTCCTGCCCTTTGTACACCCCAGTCATCACTACTACTACCAATTGTATAGTGAGATTTTTCTGATCAGCTTTACTGGCATTGGCTTTGGCAGAGTGCTAAGAAGATGATTGAACTTGACTATCTGGAGGAAATAAAAATCAAACTACTTCAATTAGGGCAACTACTTGTGAGGATTATTCAGATTTCAGGGCAGATTGTTGGTTTCCAGAAGTCCTACCTCTCCTTTTTGTCATTTTTTAAAAATCAGCTTTTTTCTTTTAAAGAGGTTCTTTCTACCACACTGCCAAGCATATTAAATCCTCAAATGACCTGTAGGAAGTAAAGCTCTTTGCCCTTATGTATGTATTTAGACATCCTTCCCTTCCTTTAAAAATGCCCTGAAATTTATGAGCCCTTCTGCATGGCATTTAGAATAATACTGAGTTGAAGCATAAAAAAATGGCTTCATTTCCAAATTAAAACTATTATTAATTGCCATCTGAGATACGTAGAAGAGATAAAAGTATGTTGCAAAACCAGGACCTGTATTTTCTTCTTAGAAATGCATAGATAGCAATGTTGTAATTTATAGAGGGAAAATATCCGATTTCAAAGCGATAGTATTTTTCTGTACAGCAAAATGGTGGTTGTTTGAAGTTTTACTTCAAGTACGCGGATGAAGTATGCAGAAGATACAACAGTAGTGGGCCTTATTCAAGATGATGATTAAGGTTCTTATCACAAGGAAATAGAGGGTTTGGTGAACTGGTGTAACAAAAACAGTCTCGTTTTAAACATAGGAAAGCCTAAAACAGAGGTGTCAAACTCGCGATGACATATTGTTGTCATGTGATGTATCACAACTTTTTCCCCCTTTGCTAAAACGGGTGGGTGTGACCATCGCATGGTGCATCTGGTCTGTGGACCATGAGTTTGACACCCTGGAACTAAAGAGATCATTGTTGATTTCAGAAAAGGCAGCCATGGCCACACACCTCTGTATAGTAATGATTAATGTGGAGGTAGTTAGCAGAATCAAGTGTCTGGGTGTGCAGCTAACGAGTAGGTTAGCTTGGTCGCTCAACAGTGAGACACTGATGAAGTGGGCACAGCAGCACCTGCATTTCCTGTGTCGCATGTGAAAAGTACATCTTTCTTTGTCCTTATCACTTTCTATAGAGGGATGATTGAGAGATGATCCTGTCATATGGCATTACTGTCTGGTTTGGAAGCATTATTGCTTCAGACAGGAAGGCAGTGCAGAAAGTGGTGAGGATGGCAGAAAAGATTATTGGTAGTTCACTTCCTTCTATTCAGGACATAGCATATAAAAGATGCTTGAGGAGGGTCCGCAGTATTGTCTGGGATGCTATGCATCCTCTTCATGACCTGTTTTCCTTGTTACCTTCTGAGAGGAGGCTTCATGGTATCCAAATTCAGCCACAGTTTTGTTCCATACAATAGCAAACTCTCAAGTTTCCTCTTTCCACCATGTATTCAAAATGGACAGTGATTAATATTTATATGTATATATAAAATGTATGTGTGTGAATTTGTATATTATATTCACACTTTCTTTTGAGAACAGGTAACAGAATTTCATTTTTAATGTGAGTCAGTGTGCTCACAGTAAAAAAATGACAAACATTTATCTTATATTCATATACATATATATGTATATATACACACACTGTATACACACACACACTGTATACACACACACGTGTGTGTGTGTGTGTGTGTGTGTGTGTGACAAACTCAGGACAATTCAGTTTCTGATTACTTTTATAATCCCCGATGAGGTCTGCAATGAAAATAGGACTTTGTCAAGTCCTTAGCAGAACCCTGCCATTCTGACAAGAGTAGTGGGGGAGGCATCACGGGCCTCATAATTTGCATGCTTTCACTTTTGCTGTAGCTGTAACTGCTTGGGAGCTTAAGAGAGGGAGAGATCTCACCATCTGCATCAACTCCTTCTTGATTGGTCTGGGCCGAGTATCCAAGGTCGCAGTGTCCTGAGGACAACTCTTCTCACCTTCTATCCTTGAAGATTTCCTAAACATCTTTGCAGCACATTATTGGTTGATGATGGACATGGGGTATCCGGGTGCGGGGTGAAAGGGAAAAATAGCCTAGCGCTTTGTGTCTGAATTTCAGATTCCTCCTGACTTCTCTGCAATCACTATCTCTCAGTAAAAGTTCCTTTTGAAATGTAAATTGTTTCAAGAGTTTTACTTTCTTGGGAAGATCATTGAAGTAGGTCGTTACAGATTCTCAGAGCTGAGATTTAAATAAATATGAATATTGCCAAAGCTTTAATGCAGGAGCCCTTCTGGGATTCTGAATGAGTTACAAATTTAATGAGTAAAAGCCACTTCTCATTGTTAGAAAAAAAGACAACTTAGTTATTTCTCTTTAAAAGATTTCTTATATCTGCGGGAAAGCAGAAAGAATAGGTTACAAAATAAAATAGAAGTTGCCCTAAAGAGCTACAGCTACCTTTAACCCCAATTGGCAATACCAGTAATCAAGACTGATGGATCTGGATTTTAGCATTGCCCATTCCTTCCTTCTGCTTTGAAAGAATTAAATCTATATCCACTTACAGCAAGGGGCTGCTTAAGGGAATATCCACACAATTATGATTAACTGCTAATTGTGCAAGTTTATCACCACTGAAGAAAAATAATTGAGCTCTGAGTCTTCATCATCACTGGTGCAAATTTTTCTCATCATGTCAGAATGATGGAGGGAATTTTACATACTGTATATCTATCAACTCTTATTAAAGTAATAAACTGTAGCACATGGGATTAGCACAAAATGATAAAATCTTATCATGTTTATCAATATCTGACACAGAGTTTTTGCTTTTGGGTAGAAGATGCTTGGCCTAAAAAATAGAATTCACATGGAATACTGAGAACCTTGAAAGTATCATTCAGTGTAATTTACCAAAAGCCAACAATTGTAGTTAAAATTGGCGTGCTCTTTAGAGTCATGATGCTTTCACCCCTTCCTGAAAATCTTTACAGCTGGTAAATCATCCTCTTATCTTCCAGCTACAGATTCAACTATAAATTCTCTGCTCCAAATTGCTTTCTTTTGGGGAGGGTGGGTTGGAGGGTTTCATCCTGGGTGATATTCCATTTTTTAACTTGTGTTAAGATACATAATTTAAAGCAAAGGTTCTTGCACTGCTTTTCCTGAAAGACAAACATAAATAGCAGCACCACTAGTAATTACTAAGCCTGTAAACAAGAAATACACTCCAAGCATGGAGTGTCAGCTCACAAATATTTTGCCTAGTGAACTTTTGTAACGAAGACATCTGCTAGCCAAAGTCAATGTCCAATACACAGTATCTATGCTAATATACATTTTGCATCTATACACACACACAAAACCCTTAAATTCTATGTTTTAACTCTCAAGATGTGCTGAAAGTAATCCTTGTCTTTTTGGAAGATTATTAGCAGAGCTAAAAAAAAAAGTGTGGAAAATGGTTCTGTTGAATCTAGTCACTTGTCACTTTTATTTTCCCAATTATATGATAATACACACATAATGAAGTTTATCAGAATTGGGGAGCCCATGGTCTAGAGGTTACAACAGCTGCCTAATATGCAAGCGGCCTGGGTTTTAATCCCACAAGGGTATGGCTAGCTGATGAGAGCTAAACTGCTTGAAATAGCTATTCTAGTCTCCCTTTATTTCTTTGTCGGTAAATTTAAATTTAACACAAAAGTAGTTTGTCGCAGAATCGACTGCCTGCAAAGGCTCCTGGATTGGGGCTGAAAGGTGAAAGCGGAAACAGTATGCTCCGTCCCATATTTGGGTAGACCAGGTTGTCCTGATAAACAAGTCTCACCGGAAAAATCATTTTAGCAGAAAAGCTACTTTTATGACAACAGAGGATTTTAACATGTGATAGCATTCTAAAGTTACATGAAAACATATAACACATGCCCCTTGTCTCAGGACAAACTGTTTCACAGATAATTCAAATGATTCCAATAGAATTTTAGAAGAGTGTACATATCCAGTTTTTCAATCTTTGTTACACATAAGAAATATTATCTATCTAGTAAACAACCTCAGTCTCTAGTTACAATGAAGTATCCAATTAAACAATGCTTATACAGCATTTATGCAAAAAACATGGATGGTCCCAATTTTTAAGACAAAGTCTTAAAATATTTCCAAAATATTATTTTGGGGCAGAAGTTTCACTTCTTCCATAATTACATTTTTTATTAAAAGCAAAAATCTTCAGCACAGAATGCTTGGAAAAGTTCTATGTAGGTTTCCCACCCTTTCTTGTGCAAAGTAACTTTATACTGATTTGCTATTATGCAATTGATAATTTTGGTTCAAGGATTTGCCTTCTGAAGGAAAAAAAACCACTCTTATATGATTTCTGCCAGTATAGCATGAGTGACATCTACTTAACTTCCCAACCAGTTTGGAAGTGCACACATGCACTTGGACCCTCTGTGCATGCGCAAATCTGTCTGTGCATGCACAGAGGGTAAAAAACAGGTTACGTCCTGGTTAAAACCAGGAAGTAACAACGAACGGATGGGTGGGTGGAGCCTCACGCCACCATCACTATCAGTTCTCCGAACTACCGGCCGCCATCGCTACCGGTTCTCTGAATCACCGGCTGCCATCGCTACCAGTTTGGCCAAACTTGGAGCATTTCACCCTTGCAGCATAGTCAATTGGTGCCAAAGGTCTAGAAATATGTCAAGACTTCTTCTTGTCAGGCACGGAAAACCAAAAACGATACAATGAATTGCTCAAAGTAGAATTGTATTGCTCTCTGCCTGTAGACAGGAATCTTCCCAAACTAAAGCACACTCTGCATAACTATCACATAAATGCTGTAAAGATTTAAGGAGACTTTTAAAAGTCTCCTTAAGGGACTTTTAAGGGACTCTTCCTTCATACCAACAGCTAAATGCTGATTTCTCTCTTCATTCCTCTCCCCTGCAACTCAGCACCAGTTTCTATCCCATTTCTTTCCAAAACCTCTTTCTGTTGTCGGTCATGTGTTCTCCCATCGTGTCATGCAGCTGCTCTAGTTGCACTTATTTTTGTATCTGCAATAACTGCTAGCCTTTCTATGGGGTCAAACATCTTGTCCAAAAGGAAATGGAAAAGGAACCTCTCCAATTCTAGAAACAAAGCTGACATATTACATTGCACTGGAGCTAGTGAAGGATCCCAAGATCCAGGATGCCCTTTAACTGGACAATCTACTCTCTGCTGCAAAACAACGAATGATGATAAAATGCGTAGTGCTGTGATGTATTCTATCACTTTGCCTGCCATAATAGCCACATTAGAATTCCAGCTGCAGAAAAGCTGGGGAAAAATACTAGATGCGGAAAACATGTTGGAATAATATAGTGTTTCAGCAAAAGGCTCTAACCATTTATGAGAGCATAAATTTGGGTATTTGGGTTTACAAATTTTAACACCATGCCACACAACCTCCTTTCTTCCACTGGTTCAGCATCTAATTTTGTGAATTTGCTTTATGCAAGGTTTTGAAGGAATGTAATTGTAGCATGAAATAAGGGAAGTCAATACTTCAATAAACTAACACCAATCCAAGATGCTAATAGCTGTGCATGCTTGTAACAAAAGTAATCAAAGAAGCAATAATGGGTGTTATATTACCAGATCTATGGTTAAGATATCAAGTTCCAACCAATGGAACAAATGGCTAACTAGCTAAAAGTAGGAGCAAAGACATATGGAGAGAGAAAACATATAGAAATAGTTCAACTTGGTATTGCAGGTAAGGGGGGAGAGGGAAGGAAGAAAGGGAAAGAAAGAAGAAAGAGAGGGGGTGGGAGAGAGAAAGAAAGAAATGAAAGAAAGAAAGAAAAATGGAAGGAAAGAAAAAGAAAGAAAGAAAGAAAGAAAGAAAGAAAGAAAGAAAGAAAGAAAACATAGTTTGATGTTTTTAACTTTCAAAAATGTAGATGTTTTCTATCCCCTATTGTCAAGAGTAAAGAATTCTGAGCTGATTGGAGTTGCTTCTTTATTGTTGCTCACCTATTTACAAGAATCTTGCCAAACTGATTGCATTGTCTTGGGGACAGCCAAATAAGAGTTTCAGGGACTCCAGGGAAAGTCAGGCCTTCATCACTTCCTGCTACTCAAGGACTATAAGCTAGCTAGTCTCTTTACAACTCCTTTTACACTCTAGCTGGAGATTCCACCACACCTGTACCCCATTCATTAATGTAACCAACATAGCTATGGTTAACCCAACATAGGTTAGCATCAAAGCACAAAAAACATAAAGCACAAAGCACAAAAAACATAAAGGTGCCCATAAAAAGAATAAGTAGGGAATATTCAGTGAAAAAAACAAATAGTATAAAATCAGATGGGGGATGGGCAAGAAACATACCAACAGCAAGGTAACGAAAGAGAAATGAGAGAGATTTCCTCAAAACCACCAGTAGTGCATCTTGTTATATGAAACTAAATGAGAAGCCAAATGATCAACTAGGTCAGTGATGGCGAACCTTTTAGGCACAGAGTGCCCAAACTGGAAGGCACTCACGCCAGAGCGCCAGAAACCCAACAACCAACTGTCCGGCATGCATGGCCCTCAGAAACCTGACAACCAGCTGGCTGAGCTGGGGCGATGGTGCATGTGCCCACAGAGAGGGCTCTGGGTACCAGCTCTGGCATGCATTTCATGGGTTCACCATCACAGAACTAGGTCATTTTGTTATTTTCAAAACCTTGCACAAAATTTACTGGAAAAGGACCACTTCTACATGAGGACTAGAGAACTCATTATTCCTTTAGCTAAAAGTATAGTTTATAATGCAGAGAGACATCATCTTTGAGTAAATATATTTTCTGTTTTGATTATAATTTTGTAGACACTTGAAATGTGCTACATATCACTTTGTGGATCAATTCAATATAATTAACACAACTGAGTTGTTTTTCTTTTTTTTTAACCTTTGTGGTCTAGATCCCTATTCCATAGTTTACTGAATCTTGGTGAATGTTTGTTCTACTGATTAGCACCAGCTTTTCAATACCTAAGTTCATTTCCAAAGTGAAACAAAAAACATCAATAACACTTTACACTAAGTAGTTTGTTACTAATTAGCTTTTTACACATTCAGAAATATTTTGTGGGGGATAAAGTTACTTGAGAAGAGAATAATTAACTAGAACACATAAAGTATAAAAACTTAATGTTGTTAATTCTGAATTTATTTAGTCTACGGTCAGCCATTTTAAAGAGAAGACAATACTTTTAATAAAACACCATACAGCATTTTGATTTTAGATAGAATGACACTCACTGTGTGTATGTGTTCCTTCTAATATTTATCTGAGAATCCAGGAATAAGATAGTATCATTAACTCTGAAATAATTAAGGGCCTTTAACTAAATACCCTGGAAAGGTATCACTTGTCACTGATGAAAATAACACTAGCTATAAATAACTGATGAAAATTAATAAATTATTAGGATACCTGAAGTCATAATTTTCAACAAGGAAAACCATTCTTGGAACATGGCTCTGGTTCCCTTAGTATATTTGTTGTTGATGGTTACTTCATTAAGTTTGATTTTTTCCCCCTCCCACACCCACCTACACCTTGCAGCTTATTGCTTTGCTCTGTCAACTATTTCAGTGCACAGTTTATACTTAAATGTATGGAAAATTTTGTTTTTCCTTTCTTCAGAAGTCATATCCTATAGGTCAGAGGTCCCCAATTCCCCCGGGCTATGGATGAATACCAGTCCATAGGCCATTGGGAACTGGGTGAACAGCAAGTAGCGGGTGAGCACATAAAGCTCACTTTGTGCAAGAAGTGTTGTGGCCAGCCAGTTACCAGTGGAGCTGGAGGCAGAATCGGACAATGAGGAGGTTGGGGAGGAATTTGGGGCAGTTCTGGAGTCTGGGGAAGGCTCTGATGGATGCTCTGGGTCAGATGCAAAGATAGAGCTAGGGCCGTCTGACATTTCTCAGCCACCGGAGAGGCAGCTGCCTTTGGAGGTTGATATGAGTGAGGAGGAAGAACAGCTGGGGCCTGTTCCAGACGCACGTATGTGCAGAGCTGTTAGGAGAGGGGAACAATGGAGGACAAAGAGTCGACTCGGGAAGCAAAGCACACATGGACGCTGAATGGCCCCTCCCTGGCTGCGGAATAAATAGAAGGAAAGGGGAGTGGTTGTCATAGGAGACAACAGTTCATATTTCTGAAGATTTTGCTCATCATGTTTCGTGCCACAGAGACTGTTTGCCAGAACTTAATTTGCAGCCTTTCGGCTGGGAGCTCATGGCCTTGCAACTATCGCAAGGAAATGATAAGTTCTGTTGCTGCCGTTAACTCTTTGAAGGACTATTGCCTGGACTTTTTGGTGGGTGAATGCAATTAATTAACAAGTGGTAAATAAAGAGGGGTTTTTTTGTGACAAGGAGTCTGTTTCTTGCTTCTGCTAAGGCTGGGTCAGAACAAGAGGCATGTGTGCACCAGGGGTGGGTTCTATTTATCTTTACTACCGGCTCACAGCGGAGCCACCTCCTTGATTCCCAGGAGAAAGAATTTTATTTTGGCTACAAGTCCCCAGCTATCTCTATCTTCCCTCTCCCATTCCCACAGCTCTAGCCAGCCCTACTGTGGCAGCCCTGAAGATGCTCCAAAATGGCTTCAGAGTTGACACTAAAGACTTGGCCCATTCAAAAAAATGGTTATTTAAAAGAAGAGATTCAAGTGGATTTCACCACTTTAATGAAATGTCATAAGTATTTTGGCAGCTGCGAACATGGATGTACATTGCCCTGATGTTACACTTGTAGCGTGCTAATGAAGGTTGCAAAATTCGCAGACATAAGCTACCTGCACCAAATTCAGCCCACTGTCTTCCTGAAATACATGACTCTGTTTTTATTTTCAATGGAAATCCTGGTCCTGGGGCAGGATAAAAGGAAGTAGTCCATTATAGTTCAGCACTGAATCCCCTATTCATTTAAACCTTTCTAAAAGTTTGGACATTTTAAAATAAAGCATTTCCTGCATTTTTAAAATAAAAGCCTTTACTGGCAGGATGAGCTGCAATCTGCTTGGCTAATATTGGAAGAAATTGGAAATTGGCTAATATTGGAGGAAGTTTGTTTTAGTTTAGCTTTAATTAAACAAAGTTCTGCTTGAATTTGAATCATTTCCTTCTTTATAATGGAGAGTAGTCCTGGTGAGCTTCTTATATATGTTTGATTTTAAAGGGCTTCTCTTGTTTTAGTATAATTGCACTGAACAGAGTGGTTGTTTTTTTCAGTCCATTCCAGCTCCGCAAAACTATACTGAACAAAAGGAAATGTTCTGATGTTTTCCTTGACTTTGATATCATGGCCTGGAGATCTCACGAGGTTCCTAGATTGCACAGCAAATTAACTGCATCAAAAAAACCAGCAGACAACATCTCTGTATTAAGCATTTGTTTTTATATAATCAGCTCTCATACAGTATGTATTATTGGGAACACAAAGCACTGTGAACAAAACAAAATTTCTGCAGAATTATTGGATGATCTCAGAACAAAATAGCTATGTATCTCTTTATCACAAAAAAATTAATTCATCTCATCAAGTCTTCAAAGTCTTAGTGAGATAACCTTGAGGAATTTCCTATTGATCCTATTGATGTATATTGAAACAGTTAAGTATCACATTTAAAACAAAAGTTTTACTTTGCATTGGTATATTTATTAATTTATTAAATTTATATGTGGCCCATCTCACTGTCAAGTGACACTGGATGGCTTACAAGATCATAAAAACAAAAATACAAAAACATCAAACATTAAATCTGAACAAGGAACCAATATACAAGTAGAGTGGCTACTCTACTCTACTCTACTCTACTCTACTCTACTCTACTCTACTCTACCCTACCCTACCCTACTCTACCCTACCCTACCCTACTCTACCCTACCCTACCCTACCCCACTCCACTCCCCATTCTAATTCCATTCCCCATTCCAATATTGATTCTTATGCTTGATCTTTCTCCCCTTAATCTTAATACTCAGAAAAAAGACTGAATGGGTAAAATAGAGTTGAAGATTAGCAAGGTTTGAGAAGGGCTGGATGGGGCTGCTGAAGAAACTCATGCTAACTCACTTAAGGAGTGGCAACAATTTATAATTATTATAAATTATTATTATTATTTATTAATATTATTAATAAATAATATTAATAAATTATTTGAATTATTTCAAACGTTTAGACACAATCAGAGACATAGCTTACAAAGAAGTACCTCATCCTCCTTTTCGATGCACCATACTTGAATCCTAACAAAGAAAATAGCTGTTTTCTACTTAAAATTTACAGCCTGATTTCTAAGGGAACAAACAACTGTTGGGAAAATTGCTTGATACCTTCATCCAATGAGTTGCCCATTCCTGATGCATGAAGTGATGTAAACACAAATGTCTTAAGAGTTCTTAATTGCAAATATTACTTTTATGCATTTCCACTGGTGTCATATATTGTTTTGAAATGTCTTCTTACCAACTGTTTTCCTAATAGAAAGAAAGAAGGTAATTCATTTTAAATGAATGTGATGGTATGGGATAAAAATAGACCCTCCATTTGTGCCACATGCAGAGCATCCTTTTTATTTTCACACAAAAATATGAGTGCTTTAATGTCTGCCAGTGAAGAAAGTTAAAAAAAACCACACACTTCTGGTGAAGAAATGGTGAATTGATGATGAAGAAATGGTATAGCTTTTAGGAGATGACAACTGTAGTGGAATAAAGAGGTGCTGAGTAGCTCTTCATAATTTCTCTCCAAACTAGGAGAAAACTTGAGATTACCCACAAATGCTCCAGACAGTTGCTCCTTGAGAGGAGACTGCAAGACAGTGGTCTCTTTATTTATTTATTTATATTTATAATTAGACTTCTATACCGCCCTTCTCCCGAAGGACTCAGGGCGGTGTTCAGCCATATTAAAACACATAGGTTTACAAAATTTAAAACCAATTAAAATCAAATATATAAAATTTGGCTCAAAAATTAAAACATACATACACCCCTTATAAAATTCGTATTCGGCCAATCTGGCTTGCTGGAACAGAAGGGTCTTCAGGGCGCGGCGAAAGGTACATAGGTCAGGGCTAAGATGAAGCTCTAGGGGGAGCTCATTCCAGAGGGCTGGTGCCCCTGCAGAGAAGGCTCTCCCCCTGGGTGTCGCCAGTCAACATTGTTTAGCTGACGGCACCCTGAGGAGCCCCTCTCTGTGGGAGCATATTGGGCGGTGGGAGGCTGTTGGTAGCAGAAGGCAGTCTCATATATACTCCGGTCCTAAGCCATAGAGCGCTTTAAAGGTGGTCACCAACTACTCACCAGATAGTCTCTGGTGGGTTTAGAACTCTGGGAGATGAGGATCTTGCTCAAACCATAATTGGTATCTTCAAAAGGACAATGGGTTCTCCTCCTTCCTTTTCTAAACATTTTCTGAAATTCCTTGCTAACTGCTTTTCAGCTATTAGTAATCTTTGGATTGACAAGTTTAAAACCACCAGGTGAGTTTATAGAATCATAGGGCTGGAAGGATCTAGATGGTCTTCCAGTCCAACCTCATGCTCAAGGCATGAGACTTATATCATCATAGTCAAATTGTTGTCTAGTCTATTCTTGAAAATCTCCAATGACGGAGCACCCACAACCCTGGAGGCAAGCTATTACATTGATAACTGCTCTCAGTGTCAGAAAATTTCTCCTTACTTCTAGGTTGGATCTCTCTTTGACAAGCTTTCACTCATTACTTCTTGTCCTGCCCTCTAGTCCCCTAGAGAATAAATCAATACCCTCTTCTTTGTGACAGCCCCTCAAGTATGTCATATGATTTAACCCCCAGACCCTTACTTCAATCCTTATGAAAGAAGTTTTAAGTAAATGTTTAAGGACTTAATTTTTTTAAAAAAATCTCTTCTTCCCATAACCCATCCCTTATTCATATGCAAGTCCATGAATCATTAACCTTTCAGAACCAGCCCTAATTCTAATAAAAAGCTAGAATAAAAACTAACTACAGATACAAGGATTTTTGATGGTCACAAATAACGAGATGAAGAAGGTCTGTATATTCAGAAGCACAAGAATCAGCTAAATACATCCATACTCTTTTGAATGGGGCAGGTAGCACAGAACTTCATGTAACAGGAGAATGTAGGATAAATGATTGATGGCGATTTCAATCTCCTTTCAGGATAATGCATGATAGAGTCCAACTGTTTGTGTAGATGTCAGCTATTAAACAAATTGATTGACTTCAGGAAAATACATTGCAGTATTTTCATGTGTCTATTTGTGTGTTTATCGAATAAAGCAAAAATGAAGAGGAATTGTTGCAAAATTGAAATTCTCAAGATAATTATGCTTATTTTTAACTACTGAGTTTCACAATATAATCACATGGTTTAGCACATAGCATTCAATTATTTGAATGATGTTTAATAATATAATTACACTATAAAGTGCAAGGTACATATCACTCTGTTATTTCTGCCAGCACCTTCTGATAAATCTCTGCAGCAATTTACTAAAGGAGGGAAAGGAAGGGCTGCTGGGCGAGCTAGTTTGTTCTCATTCTCATAAAGCTACTGCTTATTCTAAGTGAAATTCTGTAATAAAATCTGTCTTACTGCTGATGTACAGCATGCATTTATGGCAATTATTATTATTATTTAACATATGGTAACATGACAGAAGGGAAGTAAACATATACACACAATCCATGTAATTATATACAAAACTTCTACAGGGGAATGGCGTTGACCTCATAGAAGAATACGATAAAATAATTGAAAAATCAGTACATTTAAAAAATACTTTTGCAAGTCACTATTATTATCCTCTTTGGAAAATATATGAATGTGTTAATCAACAGACTGAGATTAAGGACAAATAACCCAACTGTAGCCTAGAATGGATATAATTGCAAACCACTTCCATACTTGTTCCAAGAAAATTGAATGGATTTAACCAAGAAATTGCCAACACTGAGCAAGTGCTTCTTCTCCTTTCTCCTTCCCGCTTTCTCCTTCCCCTTCCCTTTTCTCCTACTGCTCCTGTTCCTCCTGCTCCTGCTCCTCCTAAATCTTACGATATTAAATATGCCACTGGCTGTTTTGTTGCGTGATGACCATCAATTATCATCCCATACTCTGCTATTCATTGGCTGTGGAGTCCAGTACTGCTACAGGGCAGCCTAAGCTGATAAAGATCGATTTAGACCTTCTTGTCTGCCTGAGAAATTTTTTTCAAGAGGACACTAGGTTAGGAAATGCAGAATTGATACAGTGACATTTAAACATGGCCTAACTAACTCTGAGAGTATGATCCAAGGAGAAATGACTGCTTTTTTCTAAACCCTATAAACATTATTCTAATCTGTTATGATTTTCTAATTATTTTCTTCTCTTTCTATGAATCCAGGACAAGTGATTTCATATTTCCAAACAAGTGGCACACCAGATCTCCGATATTATGACTATTTTATAATGCACATATTACTTCAACATAAATTCATTGCAAGAACTGTTATGCACAGCATTATTATTAAGCAACCTCAATTGCTGGTTCGGGGGAATAATAGGATTGGACACACATTTTATTGCCTTGGGAGCAAAATGTCTTAGTCTGACTTTTTCATTAAATCATGAAATCACAATGAGAAGGCCAAATCCTCCTCTTCCTCCTCCTCCTCCCCCATTCCTTACTACCAGAATCCTTCTAAAGTTATCACTAAAGTTATTATGAATCAAGGTGAAATTGTTCAGTAAAAATAAAGTATAATCAGTAAATATACTGGAGCTGGATTAAGGATTTTACGAGTGGAAAAGCAGGTATACTGAAATTAACCTAGGACAATTTGGCAAAAACACTTTTGACAAGTTCTAATGTTTTCCCATACAGGTAGTTGTTTAGCCATTTATTTAGTGACTGTTCAGAGTTACCACAGAACTGAAAAAAACTACTTTATGACCATTTTTCACACTCATGACCGTTGCAGCATCTCCATGGTCATGTGATCAAAATTTGGACACTGGGTAACTGGCATGTATTTCTGATAGTTGCAGTGTCCCAGGGTCATGTGATCACCTTTTGCTATCCTCTGACAAGCACAGTCAATGGGCAAGCCAGATTCACTTAACAACCACATTGCTAATTTAACAGCTGCAATGATTCACTTAACAACAGTGGCAAGAAAAGTTGTAGGCAAAACTCGCTTAACAATGATCTTGCTTAGCAATGGAAATTTTGGGCATAGTTGTGCTTGTAAATCAAGGACTACCTCTACAAGTGAGGGTAGTCATTCATCAGATCAAAGGGTTTAGAAATCACCGAACAAAAATGACTGAAACAAAGCTGTTCCTGCCAATTCTGTGTGGCTTCCTTCCACTGAGGCAACCATAGAAGGCAAACAGTGGAAGGTGTGACCGAAACGTAGCAAGCAAGTCACATATGATGCATAAAGAAACAAAATTGCTGCTAAATTTGAGTTTGAAAAATTCTTCCATATTCCTCTGCTATGGTGACTATTTGATCTATGAGCACAATCCAAATTTCCCAAGGGGCATTTAATGCAGGGGTGGGGAAACTATGGCCCTTTTATGACTTGTGGACTTCAACTCCCAGAATTCCCATGGGTGGCTCAGGAATTCTGGGAGTTGAAGTCCACAAGTCATAAAGGGGCCATAATTCCCCACTTCTGATTTAATGGAACGAATCACCTTTTTTTGAAAGAAGAAACCAAGCAGCCCCAAACTTTATGTGCTGGTTTCCTTTCTGTGTAAGGCTTGCTTTTTCTCTCAGCTGCTGTAAAATTACATGGGAAAGAATTCACTGGGCAGAAGTCCTGCCTTTCATTTGCTGCTGCAGCTTCTGACAATCAACACAAATGCTGAATGTGATTCATAACAAAATCTGCTATCTACAGAACAATGAATATCTGAGCAGGCTGCCAAGGATATGCTTACATACTTTTAACATTTTGGCTGAACTATTTTAGAAATATAAATTCACTCCACTCAAATTTATACAGATTTAAACCTGCTCATTTCGTGGGGGTCAGACCTTACAAGTAAGTAAATGTTTCATAAGTAGAATGAAGTAGAGTTGGAAGGGACCTTGGAGGTCTTTTAGTCCAAACCGCTGCTTAGGCAGGAAACCCTACACCACTTTAGACAAATGGTTATCCAACATCTTCTTAAAAATTTCCAGTGTTGGAGCATTCACAACTTCTGCAGGCAAGTTGTTCCACTGATTAATTGTTCTAACTGTCAGGAAATTTCTTCTTAGCTCTAAGTTGCTTCTCTCCTTGATTAGTTCCCACCCATTGCTTCTTGTTCTACCCTCAGGTGCTTTGGAGAATAGCTTGACTCCCTCTTCTTTGTGGCAACCCCTGAGATATTGGAACACTGCTATCATGTCACCCCTAGTCCTTCTTTTCATAAGACTAGACATATCCAGTTCCAGCATGTTATAACATTCTTTATATGTTTTATCCTCGA